TTTAAATAAGAATTCAATAATTTCTCTTTTTTAATGGAAATTATTGAACGCCTATGGCTTTTTGTACTTTTTATGGTTCAGGATTTCATAAAATATGTTGAATTTAAGGGAAAAGATTCTTAATGTAATGTTCGCATTGCTTAAAAATACAAATATTTCTTCTTTTATATCAGAAATAATGCAACGTCAATTGCTATCAGTCATTATAAATGCCTTTATATAAGTATTTTTTAATAAAATGTGAATAAATGAAGGATAAATATGCATAAACTTTTGTTTTTGCTGAACAAGAATGCAATAATTTCTTTATTTGAATGGAAATTATTGACTGTCATTAGATGTTTGTACTTTTCATAGTTTAGTATTGGTTGTTTTTCATAAAAGTAAAAGAAGATCATAGAAAATATCCTTAAATGTTGTTTGCATTGTTTAAAATTACCAATTCCTCTTGTTTTGTTAAAAAATAATGCAATGTTATTTGTAACTAGTTATTTCAAAGGCTTCAAGATTATTTTTTTTATATGAATTTTAATATTGTAAGTAGAATAAGGCTTAAACTTTTGTTGGTGTTGAAAATGAATGCAATTATATCTTCATTTTGATAGAAATAATGAATCACCATTTGATATCAGTACTTTTTGTACATCAGGATTGGTTGCATTTCATAAAATATGTTGAATTGAAGGGATCAGATACTAAATTTAATATTCGCATTGCATAAAAATACAAATATTTCTTTTTTTTATATCAGAAATAGTGCAATGCAATTGCTATCAGTCATTACAAATGCCTTTAGATAAGTAATTTTTAATAAAATGTGAATAAAGAAGGATAGATATGCATGAACTTTTGTTTTTGTTGAAATAGAATGCAATAATTCCTCTATTTGAATGGAAATTATTGACCGTCATTGGATTTTTGTATTTTTTATAGCTTAGGATTGATTATTTTTTATTAAGAAGTTAAAAGACTATCAGAAAAAATATACTGTAATGTTGTTCTCGTTGTTTAAAATTACCAATATTTTTTTATTTTTAAGAGAATTTGCAGCATTTTTATTTTTATTTGTGATTTGTTATTTTAATGGCCTCGAGATAAGTTTGTTTAAAGAATTTTAAGATTATAAGGATAAAATACTTAGAAATATTTAAAAATAATACATCGAAATTTGCAATAAATGATCATTTCATTTTATTTTCAAGAGCATTTTCGGAAAATAATAAAATCACTGAAAATCGCGATCAACACCGTTTTAGAAATGTCCGGGTTTGGAAAAATATAGCCTAAATTAAAACGAAAATGGCCATTCTTTAATAATAATATTTAAATTTAGTTTTATATGCATATTTCTTTTCTTTTAAATTCTTAAAACTGTGCTAAATAATTAATAAAAAAAGTTGTTGATCATTTGTACTTGAATGTTTCGTATTTTCCATGTCGTCATTTTAACTAAATGAAACGAAACTAAGATTTCGTAATTTGTATTAGTTTATCATGTGACGTAGTAGAGTTTAATCCGTCAGAAAGGTCGATCGGTCCTATCCGTCCGATTCGTCCGATCAGTCAAAAACTTTGACTATAAGTCTGACGGATTGGTGACGTGAGTTTGACGCGAACTTGACTGATCGGTGACTGATCGATAACCGCTGATTGATCACTAAAACAGTAACGCCTAAGGTTGCAAGTACTGTATCAATATTTTTCTCATATTGGTCTTGGAAATGAAAGTCATAGAAGGCATAACAGGATTACATGTTTAGATTATTACAATACTCCTGTGAAAAGATTAATTGTTAAGTTAAGAGCAACATAAAATTATTTCACAATATTCAAAACACATTTGTTCATTCACATTTATGAATTCTGTGGGAGTCAAAGATTGGTGATCAAGAGAAATCTAAATTCTTTGACTTTGTCCATACCGAAACAAAAAAAGGATCAAAATAGGAAAAACAAAATGGGTAATGTTAGTCAGGGTTTCCTGTGGCTTAGGTTTATTGAGAGAAATATTACAAAGTTTAATGATGTTTGCTGATCGTGTTTTTGACCTTTTTGTCAGATATTCGGAATCCTCTGGTTTTTGTTGAGCCTGCGACTTTTGTCGCAGAAAGCTCGACATAGGGATAGCGATCCGGCGGCGGCGGCGGCGTTCGCTAACTTCTTAAAAGCTTAATATTTTAGAAGGTGGAAGGTCTGGAGGCTTCATACTTTGTATATGGATGCCTCATGTTACGAAGTTTCCGTCAGTCACATGTCCAATGTCCTTGATCTCATTTTCATGGTTCAGTGACTACTTGAAAAAAAAGTTAAGATTTTTTGTAATGTTAGATTCTCTCTTATTATAAGTAATAAGATAACTATATTTGGTATGTGCGTACCTTGCAAGGTCCTCATGCCCGTCAGACAGTTTTCACTTGACCTCGACCTCATTTCATGGATCAGTGAACAAGGTTAAGTTTTGGTGGTCAAGTCCATATCTCAGATACTATAAGCAATAGGTCTAGTATATTCGGTGTATGGAAGGACTGTAAGGTGTACATGTCCAACTGGCAGGTGTCATCTGACCTTGACCTCATTTTCATGGTTCAGTGGTTATAGTTAAGTTTTTGTGTTTTGGTCTGTTTTTCTTATACTGTATGCCATAGGTCTACTATATTTGGTGTATGGAATGATTGTAAGGTGTACATGTCTAGCGGGCAGGTGTCATTTGACCTTGACCTCATTTTCATGGTTCAGTGGTCAAAGTTAAGTTTTTGAGTTTTGGTCTTTTTTTCTAATACTATGTGCAATAGTTCAACTATATTTGGTATGTGCGTACCTTGCAAGGTCCTCATGCCCGTCAGACAGTTTTCACTTGACCTCGACCTCATTTCATGGATCAATGAACAAGGTTAAGTTTTGGTGGTCAAGTCCATATCTCAGATACTATAAGCAATAGGTCTAGTATATTCGGTGTATGGAAGGACTGTAAGGTGTACATGTCCACCTGGCAGGTGTCATCTGACCTTGACCTCATTTTCATGGTTCAGTGGTTATAGTTAAGTTTTTGTGTTTTGGTCTGTTTTTCTTATACTGTATGCCATAGGTCTACTATATTTGGTGTATGGAATGATTGTAAGGTGTACATGTCTAGCGGGCAGGTGTCATCTGACCTTGACCTTATTTTCATGGTTCAGTGGTCAAAGTTAAGTTTTTGAGTTTTGGTCTTTTTTTCTAATACTATGTGCAATAGTTCAACTATATTTGGTATGTGCGTACCTTGCAAGGTCCTCATGCCCGTCAGACAGTTTTCACTTGACCTTGACCTCATTTCATGGATCAATGAACAAGGTTAAGTTTTGGTGGTCAAGTCCATATCTCAGATACTAGAAGCAATAGGTCTAGTATATTCGGTGTATGGAAGGACTGTAAGGTGTACATGTCCAACTGGCAGGTGTCATCTGACCTTGACCTCATTTTCATGGTTCAGTGGTTATAGTTAAGTTTTTGTGTTTTGGTCTGTTTTTCTTATACTATATGCAATAGTTCAACTATATTTGGTGTATGGAAATATTTTATGATCTATTTGGCAGTCACGCAGGTTTTATTTGACCTTGACCTCATTTTCAAGGTTCATTGCTCAGTGTTAAGTTTTTGTGTTTTGGTCTTTTTCTTAAACTATAAGCAATAGGTCAACTCTATTTGTTGTATGGAAGAATTGTTAGCTGTACATGCCTGCCTAGCATGGTTCATCTGACCTTGACCTCATTTTCATGGTTCATTGGTCAATGTTTAGTTTACTTGGTTAATGTTAAGTTTATGTGACAGTTGTAATAAAGCTTTATATTTAGGACTATCAACATAATATCAATGATTAGTAAAGAAGGCGAGACATTTCAGCGTGTGCACTCTTGTATCCATTTGGTGCCATTTAAAATTTAAGCCTACTTTTCTTTTTATAATTTTATCAAATATAGTTTAAAAAGCCATTTTTGAAAATCTCATAAAATCCTTGTAATTTTTTTTTATAGTTTTTGAAAGAAAATAGATGCCAATTATTAAATGTATGAAAAATCCAGAGATAAGCATTTCTGGCCAAATTTTCAAAGGCTGATATCTCAAAAACAAGGACACAGATTTTTAAAATCTATAACTGTCTTTTGAAAAGCTTGTCTTTTTTAAAACAGAGCAGTGAACGTCCTTAACAACAGTGAATTGTAATTAGAAATTTATCTGATGAATAATATCATTGCTGAAGCTTTCATACTATTAATAAGTTGATTGCATACATTGTAAGTAAAGAAATCAATTTAGTCTTTAAGTATTAAGCTGGAACTGCCTTGTTATTATCAGATAATCGACCTTTATTGTCTGGGAGAAATAAGATAAAGGGAACACATTTACAGTTAAATAAACTAAATTTTCTGTCAGTTAAGAACATAACTGTTTGTATTGGACTGACAAAATTTATACCAGATTGTTGTAAAAGTGTGATTCAAACCAGGGGCGGATCCAGCCATTTATAAAAGGGGGGTTCCAACTATATGTCCCCATTCAAATGCATTGATCGTCAAAAAAAAAGGGGGGCGGGGTTCCAACCCCCGGATCCGCCACTGTCAAACAGAAGGGTTTAATTTGGGTTTTTGCTTTCACCTTTCCTTGGTTAGTAACAGATGTTAAGTCATATTCATTTGAAAATTTAAATTAATTTTTGAAGAGCGAGGCATAACTTATGAATCCAGTTATTTCAGTGATTAATGTGGCCCATTTGATTACTGTAAATTTAGAAATTATTTGGAAGTTTTTATTAATGTGAATAATGAAACTAGGTGATTATCCCAATAATAAGAACTCGTATTCTTATATCTTATACATATATCTGTATGCATATTTTCCTGAAATCACAATAATTAACTCACATTTTTGTCCTTTTTCAAAAATCACAATATCAAATGCACACACTAATTTCTGAAAGTACAGTATGTGTCAACTGCTCTATTATATAACATCATATTATTCAGAGTGTCAGACCCTCAAGAACAGGACAGATTGTTGTAGAAATCTACTGTATAGGTGTATCTTTGTCAACTGTAGTGGTACCACCACAAAACAGACTTATAAAGGTAAGTACTATATATTTATATCCCTGCTCTGAAAGGAAGGGGGATACTGGTTTATCTCCATCTGTGTCTGTCTGTTCCATAAAATTGTGGTCGCGTTTTTTGCAGGAAGTACAATTCAGAGCTTCTTGAAATTTGGTATCAACCTTTATGTGGACATGCTACGTCATGTGATGCAGTTAGCATGCAACGCCATGTGATGCAGTGAGCATGCTACGCCATGTGATGCATTTTCAGATTCATCATTAATCCAAATAATTATGAATTCTTTCACATAAAGGATAAGACATTTTTCTCAGGAACAACAAATCAAGGATTTCTGAAATTTGATACCAAGCTTCATGTGAGCATGCTTTACCTTGTAATACATTTCTAGATTCATGGCTTATCCCATTCCCTTTTACTGAGAAACTTCTATATTTTTACACATAATGTCTTCTTTGTATGAAATTTATCGCAAGGTAGTAATAGATCACAGTTCAACTTGTTTATTTCAGTTTTCCTGTCACATTTTGTTTTCTTTATATAGATTTGATACAAAAAAAGAGATGTGGTATGATTGCAGACGAGACAACTAACTATCCATCATAGTTCAAATGATGTTGATATAAGAAATTATAGGTCACCATACAGCCTTTAACAAGCCTAGTTCATCTTTCAATCCCTCTGAAATACCACAGTTGTCAAACTTCTTTAATGTCTTATAACATTGACCTGATTTTGTTTATGAACATTTAATTTTTAACTGTTTTGTCCAATGGAAATCCAGAAATTGATTTAGGACTGTGTTACTTACATCAGTTGGTGAGCAATTGGGAGAATGGGTGGCTTCAGCTGTTCCCATCTGTTAATTAATGAATTGTTTAACCAATGTTTATATGATGTTTCTGATGACAAAGTTATGGTCAATATTGAAATAGAGGATTTTCACTTTTGCCATTCTTGAGTTATGGTCCTTGATTGATTGGAAAATGGCATTTTAAGTCATTTCCATGCATTAAACTGAAAACCTTTCTAACAATGCTTTCTTAATTTTAATATGTTGTTACTGATGAAAAAAGTGAGGTCAGAATTGGCACTTTCAAATTTGGCTTTTGCCATTCAAAAGTTATTGCCCTTTAGTATGAGTCGGGTTTCAAACTGTAGTATCTGTCTGTACATATCACATGACCCAGTTAGTTCAAGTAGAATATTCAAGTTTATTTACAATTAATTGCAATCTATTATATTTTATAAATAAAATGCATGACTGTACCTTCAAATTGGATATCTATATCCATAATTAATGAATAACAGAAGTAATCTTGCAAATTTTATCCATAAGCACATGTTAAATCTATTTATATCTACTTCCTGTCATTTAGGCGGGAAAATAGGGAGACTTAGTTGTTGACATTGAATATGGTTACTTATAGATCTATAGACCAAAGATAAATTTATAGATTTAGGAATTCTTTTTAAATGGTTCATGACAAATAAAGATTTAGATTTTAGGGCAGTATTAAGTGTATCTATGTTTGATTATCACCAAAGACAAGAAAGGTTAATATTTACATGAAATCTATGGCAAAATGTTCTAAAATTTATGAAAAATTTCTTTTTATTAAAATCTAAGATAGAAACTGGTTCAGATAATAAAACAATATTTGCAATTGTTCTTGTTAATTTTATATCTTCTTATGACAGGAATCCTTTCACATACAACAACTTTTTTTCTAGAAACTAGAAAGTTTTTTAAATTGAACATTTTTGTTCACTTTTGAATGATATTTTATTTTTATTGATTTTGGATTTTATAAAAGATTTAATTACTTTAAATTCAGATGAATATTTTATTATGAATCATAATTTATTTATTTAAAAAAAATATTAAAGTATACAAACTGTTTTTTTATTTACTTCTTTTTTACCAATAATTTTCTGAATCAATGTCTACTTTACACAGTACCACAGTGTTAAAACAAAACAAGAGACATAAAAACTACAGTATCTAGAGCTAAGCGACGCGACACAACTGATTGCATGAAATATTTCACCAAGAAGTCCACACGTGTTACCCTGGTGCTATCCAAAAATCCTGGGGAGAACACTGTCACATATATATATATATCAGTACTACCCATCAAATTGTTCTATATACATGTATCTATTTTTATGGCTGTTGAGTATTGTTTATTAAGTGTTTAGATTGTTTTATTACCAAGGTACATTTTAACACGTTATTTTGTAGGATGTTACTCAGCTTCAAATCAAACAACTATCCAGACTGATTGTGGAACCACCTCTTATGTAGATTCATGTAAGTACATGCTGGAATATGAAGCTATTTTTAGAATTCTGGATAACAAAATTTATATATACATTTATCAACTGTATTTTAGTTACCGTTTAAATCAAAACAGTATTTATAAAAATAGAAATAAAAATAAATAATTTATATATACAAAACAATAAAAGAAAAACAAATATGATATACAGCAACAAACAACAACTATTGAATTACAGGCTCCTGACTTGGGACAGGCACATACAAAATGTTTAGCCAAACTCTCCCCCTAACCTGGGACAGTGGCGTAACAGTACAACATTAGAACAAACTATTTAAATCAGTTGATAAGGACTTAACTCGTCCAATCAATACAAAGCACATGAAAATCCTAATAAAAACACAAAAGACAACAAAGTACAGATCTGAGAGTACTCACAGCTATTGGAAGCTAGATCAAAGCCAATAACAACTTACAAAAAAATCATATATAGATATAAGAAGATGTGGTATGAGTGCCAATGAGACAACTCTCCATCCAAGTCACAATTTATAAAAGTAAACCCTTATAGGTGAAAGTACCGTCTTCAACACGGAGCCTTGGCTCACACCGCACAGTAAGCTATAAAGGGCCCCAAAATATGTCTATACTAGAAATAACATGTTTAAGTTATAATTGTTTGATACAAAGTATCTCTCTGATTTGTCTTACTGCTGAAGTTTGGCTGATGATCTCATCTTTTAAAAGTTATTTAGCAATACATGTATATACCTTACTTTTTTTACTGGTATAACCTAATGATATGATTTTGTTAACAGGTGCTGCTACAACTCCTTCTTCAATCACAAGTAAGTAATTTAAGTGAAAAAATGAAATAAATCATCTGAGATTCTTCTGTATCCAAGGAGTGTAGCATGTTATGTTTGACAGTAATACATAAAGCATGTCAAATTAAGATTGAAGACAGCACTCATTTTATATTTGATTGCAGGCATATGACTGAATTTCCTGGATATTTATCAGTGATGAGATACATCTAGGTGAATGATAAGTTCTTGAAAAATGTTTTCTTACAATATGTTTACAGATTTCATGGTCTAGTACATTTTAAAAAATTTTTAAATAAGAGTTATACGAGCAAGCTTTAGTAGTTTCAGTGATAGTGAAATGATGATAGTAACATACTGTGGATTCGTTTATTTTTGTTGGTACCAATTTTCATGGAAAAGGAAATATTGTGTTTACGTGGATATTTGATTTCGTGGTTTTACATTTCTGCATACAAGCCTAAAGAAAATTTGTACTTCATTAAATATTTAAATTTGTGGTTCACCCACTAAATCCAATACTTAATAATTGGTATCTAACAAATAATAATGAATCTACAGTATATAGATAGGTTGCTTATTTATAATTATAACAACTTATACCCATACATGTATTAGAACAATGTATTTTTAAATACAGAATGCATGTATTTATATAAACATCAAGCACATAGTGGTGAAAAAAAAATTTGCTTTTTATTCAAAAAGATGTTGAACTAAAAATAGACATTTTTCAGTGGCATTGTTATCTTTATCAAGACTATATTGGTCTAAATCAACAATTTCAATTTTTTTTCATATTGACTTTATATATAGTTGATGTAGTTATTAATTGGAAAGGTTCTATAGATGAGGCATGGCTTTTTTCCCAAGTTTGTTTGAAATTGTATAAAAGGTGGTAGTATCAATCCTTATTTACTTGATCTATTGTCTTCTAACTAGCATTATATGAAAGGTATAAAAAAGAAGTAAATTTGTTTAAAGAATAGAAGAAAATATGTCAAAATGACAAAATTATGATTGGTATTTTAATAACATATATCAGTTTGTGTTTCCCTGTAAAACAAAACAATGGAAACCTTCCACTAATACAAAATTACCTTGGATAGACTATTTTTGTATGACTGACTTTACTCGGGAGTATATATTTTTTTCGACAGGTTACCTATATAGCTAATCTGTGGTAGGACATTCTGGTACTCAGTCAAGTAAGAGCAACTAAAAGAAGTAAAATCAAGCTTACAATGATTGAAATGCTTGATTTTACTTCTTTAACCTGCTTTTACTTGACTGAGTACCAGAATGTCCTACTGCAGAGTAAGCAACCTGTCAAAAAGGTATATACTCTGGAGTCAAAAGTCAGTAATATGATAATAGTCATTTGGAAAAAGATAATTTTAAGCATCTTTCTGAACTTTACAGCTGCTGCACCATCTAAAGGTGGCATTAATCATCATTTTGATGGAGCTTCGTTCATTGGTGGAGTTATTTTATGTGGAGCAATAGTTGCCATCATATTTTTTGGATGCAGGTGGTACCAGTCCAGACAGGGAAGCAACTACCATACGCTTTAGGCAAATGTACTTGTTAATGTAGTTACTCCAATTTATTTTTAAAGCATGACTTTTTTTTTAATTTTTGTAAACTGTTTAAAAACTATTTTTTGTTATGCTGGTTGATAGAATTGACTTCCCAATAAGCTGTGATTTGAGTTTTTCATTTTTATAAATTTCTTAACAGGAAATATTTTTTTATTCAAATAGAAAATTAAATTTATTTGCCAGTGATATCAACACAGTATGGAGTTCAAGATTTTTCTTTTAATTGCGTGGGCTGACATTAGATTTTTAATAATCACAAAGCATGCACTTTTTCATTGTACATATTGATTAATTGTACATGTATGGCAGTATATTCTAATTAAGTAATGGATGAATAAAATTAGTGCGTCTTGAATGATTTTGAAATGTTCACTTAAAATATGATGGCAACTACCCTATCAACAGAAATAACCAAATTTTGAGGTTTTTTTTAGGCAGATTTTTTCTACAGTCATCATAAAGGAACTGATGTGTTGACTAGTTCATCATTGTCATAAATCAAATGCATGAACCTGTAGAAAATCCAAATAGAACCAACACGTCCATCTAGTTTGAACATATCTGTACCCATAATTGGTTTATTAATTGGTGTTGAAGATACATGACATTCGCCACCGACTATCATTTACAGTAACTGTCATTTCTTGGTTTCATTTTCATTAATTTTAGTATTTAACTGTAAGCTTTAACTTAAGGAATACAAAGAATCATAAATGTCTGTCTGTTGTTTTGTGGTAAATGTTAGCAATGTTGTTAGTCAATGTAATGTAATGAGTTAAAAATATAATGGTCAATTGAAGTGATTTTACTGGTAATACTGTGGATTCATTATAACTTGTGGGATACCAATTTTCATGGATTTCATCGGTATAGGCAAACAACGAGTTCTAATGTTCAATGAAATACAAATTCTAATGCAACTATTTTGTATCAATGGTTCTGATTGGATGACAATAAGCGTAAAATTCTCTATCTCCCTGTCTGTAACTAAGGAAGCCGACATTTTGAATTCCAGAATGTATTGACATGTAATTTCTCCAATAATAAGCAAAAAAACTCACATTTTTCTCCTAGAAATCTTCTTTTTATCAAATTTTATTACATTCTGAAGCGGACAAGAAGCCAGAAAACGCCAGGTGTTTACGTTTGATGCTTGATTTCGTGGTTTTGCCAAAGTCTGCATATAAGCATATAGATAATTTAGAGATTACTGTATTGTATTTGAAGCGTTGCGGACATCCATCGGTAGTTTTACTGTCGCAAATATCCGTTTACCTGTCTCCACTACGCCTTGCCAGGTAAACTAAATTTGCGACAGTAAAACTACCGATGGATGTCCGCAATGCTTCAAATACAATACAGTAATCTCTAAATTATCTATAGGTTTATATGCAGACTTTGGCAAAACCACGAAATCATGTATCTACCAATATAATTTTTTTTCTTTTTCCAAGGATATTGGTACCCACAAAAACAAGTGAATCCACAGTATTCAGTGTAATATTTTCTCATTGATCATAGCTGTTGGGTACAGGCTTTGAACTTTTAGAACCACTCTTAAATACATACTCAGATTGCTTGGATAATTAATGAGGTGGTAGAAAACTTAAAAAGTATAACTTTTTTTATGTATCTCTTGATTGTGTTTACATCATATCAGTTTGTATAGTATATTTGAACTCTTTACATTTATAAATAATCATATATGAGTACTTGTATACAAAGTAAATGTGTTTTGATGTAGAAGTATTGTCTAAATTTGAATAATTTAGAGATCTATTGCTGAAATAAAAGTAATGGTTCTGTTACTCTGTTTACCTATGGTCAGGTTAAATGAAAAAGCTTAGAACTATAGGGTCCTACAGAAGAATAAAGTTGTCTACTGCTGTTGTTTTTTTTTCTTATGTCCTGTGCTAGGGTGTTAAAAGGTTGTAGGTTCAGAAAGGGTTAAAATTGACTTTTTAAAACTTTCCTAAATTTTACGTTTATAAGAAGTATTTTATGCATTAGATGTAAAAAAGGTAATAATAACTGGTCATAGTTATAGAAAAACTAAGGATTTTCTACCCCAGGAAAAGATTACTTTAGCTGTATTTGGCAAAACATTTTGGAATTTTGTGTCCTCAATGCTCTTTAACTTTGTACTTTACTTGGCCGTTTTAACTGTTTTGATTCGAGCGTCACTGATGAGTCTTTTGAAGACAAAACATGCGTCTCAGGCGTACAAAATTTTGATCCTGGTATCTTTGATGAGTTTATTTACAAAATCAACAAATCATTGCATACTCTATCAATGATGATGTATATATTATGTCATGGTGATGTCATAATTGTAAACTTTGGTGATGAATAAATTCATAATTTTGACTCAATTTAGCTTAAATCTACAGTTAGCTATTGCTTTACACAAATTTGGCCACTTGCACAAGGCAGCATAGTTTTTTTCTGTAGGATATTTACCTCGCAGATCTTCGTTAAAGAACTACAAGTTCATAATAAATCAATGAAATGTACATACTTAACATAGGTGACAAAATTTGTTTGACAGGAAGAGTAATACACAGTTTCAGAATTGGAATTTTCCAGTTGATTGCACAGGGCTGTAGCTTTCTTGTCTTCCTCTTCTGCTTCTGCCAGATAATGGCCACAATCATCAAACTGATTATACTGCCATTGATTAGGTGCTCATACAGAACCAACCCACTCCCCCCAAACTATTTGAATTTAATTCAGCTTTTTCATTGAGGCTTTAAAAGCCTCGACTGATAGTTCTAATACAACTGCAGGAGGAAGAGCGTTCTAATCCCGGATGGTTTCTGGGAAGAATGAATTTTTGCAGTAAACTGATCACAGGATGCCGATGCTAATTAGAAGCATTTGTCCTGCATATTTCTCAACAGTAGTTTTGGTGGTATTATACGACCTTCCTTTGATATTGCTGCTTTGTTGTTCTCTAAATGTAGAGCATGGCGAGTCTCGCTTAATTTCTTCTTTGCTCTAGAAATGTCATTTATGCTTTCATAAGACAGTCAATTATGATAATTACTATCAATTATATAGAAGTTAGAAATAGAAAAGTTAGAAGTCACTGTATTTGTTCAATATGTTTTGAAACCTTCATCTATGTTCAGTTTCTATGTCATTTAATGTTTTGTTTAGTCTTATTAAAATCCAACCCTAATGTCTACTTTTTATCACATGCAGATTTTCGTCTTTTATTTCAGCTGCATCGCCATCTACAGACAAGAGACATTTTGATGGAGCCTCCTTCATTGGTGGAATAGTGTTGTGTGCTGGGATCATTTTGATCATCTTCTTCGTTCTGAAATGGTACAAATCTAGACAGGCATCCAGCAACTATCATCAGATGTAAAATACTGAGGATTACTGAGAAACTGTAGAGGACGAATTTCTATTTCCTGGATTTTATAGTTATGTTACACTTTATGTATGTAATTTCTTGTCTTTCAAACATGTTTTAAAATCAAAGAAATCTCATTTATTTTGAATTCTTACTTATTTTTACATGTGATTTGAAGTTGGTTAAGTTATAAAGGTCTAAAATTAGTGCTTTTCTAAAAAAATTATTTTACTGTAATTCCCTTAAATTTCCTTTCGGTTGTAATACTGAATTGATATAGCTGAAAACACTTTTTTTGTTTGTGTTAAGTTTAACAAAATTTACCGCTAATTGTAATTATATCAAAGTTTGATGTCAGCATTATTTCTGAAAGGTGTCTGGATAAACAAGCCAAAAATAGATAGACAGAGTTTATTTTTAATACTAAATCTTATTTTTTTTTTGCTATTGTATTTTGAAAATATGTGAAATGTCAGTGTGTCTGTGATGAAGGTATTGTTTTAAGACAACATAAAGTATGTTGATGAATGTTTTTTTTTTTTGTTTCTTTGAGTAAAAAACTATGGTTTTATCAGTTGTGGATCCAGGATTTTGAAAAAAGGGGGGCTCACCAAGGCAAATTTAGGAATTGGACAAAAAAGTCTATGCATTTACCATATATGTAGCTCTTTAAGGGGACAGGGCAACCCCCTTAATCCACCTCTGTTTATTGTTTATTGTTTAAACTGTATTGTTAACATATAATTCGAATAATTTTATTCTGAGTTAAAGAAATTGTAGGGAGATTTCATTATTTTGTGAAGGATTATATTTTTTGTATTTGAGGGAAGTATGATACATTACCATAGTAACAGATTGATGTGATATGCTGTTTTAAGTTAACAAGGGTTTGTTGTTTTATTGTTTTGGACCAATTTTTCATCCTTACAAATATGGCTTTAATTTTGAGTAAAGTTTCCAAAACACTTCATTCAGTGAAATTTTGATACGTAATGGGGTAAATAATTGTTTAAAAAACGCTAGTAAAACAAGAAATAAAATCAACTATAGCTTTAGTTATAACATTGCAAATCCAGAAAAATATTAGAAAAAAAAACTTTCTGTAATAAAAAAAAAGTTGGGTCAGATATAAGAGTGTTTATGTTGTGTGAAAAATATTACCATAATATGTTTTAATAACTGCAAAAAAAAACTATTTTAAGGAAAGTGAATGCTGAATGGATTTTGTGCTTCAAGCATTTTATTTTTCATTTTCATTGCATACAGAGAAACATCATTAAGTAATTTGTGATATGTGGCTATTTTTGAGGCATGATTTGCTAGAATGATCATCTTGCCAACCCATATTTGAGGAAAGAATTTCATACACTGCAAACTATATAAAGGTGCATTTAATTATTTTGTTTACAGATAAATGCATTCCATTCCTTATATATTACAAAGGTAAATTCACCATTACAGATTCAGAGGTTTGTGGGTATATTTCATTGCTTTGACACCATAATGAATATAGCTTCACACCATTGGTTGGATATCAATTGTTCCAGAGATTATCAACCAATCACAACAAAATGGCAACAATTTAAAATATTACCCAGAATGCATTAGATTCTGGATCTGAATTTATTTTGTTTTTTATGCATTTTCATTGGAAGAATCTGATTATATGTAGTATGATCTGTTTGTTTACATTTTGTTTACATTTTGTTTACATTTTGTTTACATTTTGTTTACATTTTGTTTACATTTTGTTATCATTGTTGTTCTTATTATCTGCTGTAAGTTAGCTTAGGAAATTAATGTTTCTTTTTTTATTTAATTGAGGAATTTGCTTGTCAATGTAGATATTTATAAAGGAAATTGAGACAATTAACAATACTATTGTTAATAGCTTTAGGTCAAGAAAGAAAAATGTTGTGGTTTCAGATATAAAAGATGAAGTGGGAAGGGTCAGTGGCTCAAAATTTTGTATAAATTTACTAACTTTTCCTTTATATCAGAAACTGAAAGTATCATTTCCGATTAAATATTGAATATAATGAAATTTAAAAATCTCTTTGGATGCAGTCTTTGTTTAATGGAAGTCTGTTGTTATCTTGGTCCTGTTTATATTCTGTATAGCATTTATGATGCAACAAAAAAAGATAAAAGATTATAAAAGCTAATATTCTTATCAAATTCTAAACCAGAATATTCTGAACTTAATACTGAAAATTGTAAATGACATAAGCTGATCCCACTCTGGCAGGTACATGTATGAAAAAAGATGAGATTTTTTTATCTGTCCGTTAACAGTTTAAAAAAATGAATTTTGGTGTGCAAATAGGGTTTGTTCAGTAACTGCAAACATAACATTTTTCTATCATAACCATTAACATATAGTTGAATTGCTTTGTGTAAGTTTCTGTTTTGTTGTTGTTGCTTACATCATGCAAAGGTTCATAAAATATTTGATTTAAAATTACATCAGCTGGAATTTTATTGAAATTATTACATTTTCCTGTGTTGGAGGACAAAAAATACATTCTTATATAAATATTGTGATAGGTTTTGTGATTTAGGTGTTGTGTTAAGAGATGAATGTGATTTTGTTTGTTTATTTTATTCGTCTTTGCCAAGTAAGTGCTATTTAAATGTTTATATATATTTATGTAAATGTAGTATCATATTTTGTTTCATTATATATGACTGGGAAGAGTTTGTCATATCATAGAACTTTATGTTATAATGTGCTTTCATTTTGTAAATAGTAAGGTAAAAGAAATTAAAGAAAGGTGTGATCTAATAACCAATCAGCAGTTAAGATTTATTCAGTTCTATTATGAATTATTTACTGAGTTTCAGACAGATTAAGTATGAAGCATATTATGCATGGGCCTCAGTGGCAAATTGGTCTAAGTAGATCATCTACAGTGATCATAAGTCTATCAACTCTGAGGTTATGAGTTCAAACCCAGCTCATGGTGCTTTCAACTCTGATCTTAATTGATAAGGACTGCCATCTTTTCTGTAGAAGGTTGGTGCTTCTCAAGGAGTACTCCAGCTTCCTCCACCAACAAAGAAGTGGTATTGCCAAGGTCTGAAAAAGTTTTGGAGAGATCATTACATAGAATATTATATATAAACTTCTTAAGAAGTAAAAAGTAAAACAAAGCTAGTTTCATACTGTGAACAAGGTGAAATCACTTGGTAGGCTTTGATTAGATTGCTAACAATGTCTTCTTTAGAACTGTTGATCATTGTCTAAAATTGTCTATTCAGTACAAAATTTGAAAGCTTTTCTTCGGTCTTTATAATGTCATTTTCAAACAGTTTTCATGTCTATGCATCAAGTTAATTATAAATTGTTTGCAGTAAACTATAGAAGTAAACTATAGATATGTTTAAATAGTTCAGGTGAATGGTCGTGTATAATTTATTTGCTGAAATGTACTGGAGATATTCAGATGATAATGATCATTTCTTCAAGAATCAAGTGTCCTCCCTGTTTAGATGAAAAACAAACAAATGGATATTTTTTTTTTAAAGAGAAATTTTTATTTGGATGATAATATAACAAAATTAACATCAAGAACATGTATATTTATTGTTCTAGAATATTCAGGTTTAAATCTCTTTTTGTCATAATTCTTCAGCAGCAAATTGAAAAACACCTCTCTGTAATGGAGAAAGAGAAGATTTGAATATCTCTTGTACTGTTTAACATGTGGTAGATTTTCCTTTGGTTAATAGCACTTGCATATGGTTTAGAAAACAATTTATTGTTGATAGATTTTGTCATTTTGTCATAATAACTCATAGTCTTCATCTTTTTGTTAATCCATCCAGTATATATTAAAGAAATCTCAATCTATTCTTGCTTTAAGTTATTATTCAGATAAAATAAGCATATCCTGCCAGCATATATTTCCTTCTCTCTAAAAACCAAGATATTTTTGTTTGTAGAATAGTTTTTTTTTGTATTATTAGAAATATATGTTTTCTAAGTGGGTAATTTTTTGTTCCTTGATAAAACTGAATTATCTTACAAGTAAAAATTTATTATTAATCAGAAACCATTTTAGGTATATGAATTGTAATTTGGTGCTTTGTTATCGTATTTAGCAATCTCAGGAACTTTGAATTATTTCTGGAGCTACACATCTGAAGTACTAAAAACATTTGACTGGCTTATAAGAGTGTATACCAGAATGTTTTTTAATGAGCCTTTAAACTTGGATGCCACTGGTCTATTGAATTTCTCCTTTTGTCTGATTTTTTATGATGATTCTAGTCTACTTTGCCCAATGCCCTTCTTTGGCATTGGTAAACACTACTCAGTACTGACTACAATTTATCAGATTTTGTTTTCTTTATGATATTTGATTTTAATCATGAATTTGGCCTTTCAAGAATAAAAAAAAGTGGGCAAAGTTGATAGGTTCCTGGGGAAAAAAATCAATGACCACGAATGCAGGTTTGATTGTTATTTCTATTAGATTATTGGAAATAAGAAAAATTTGGGATTGAAGATAGTAATTTCAGACTGCTTCTCAGGATTTTCTGTTTCTTCATCAAGTAATTGCATGGCACCTGTAGAGAAAATAGTATTAAAACACTAAGAAAAAAACATTTCAACCCAAAACATACCATCTGCTAGTTAACATTATTTTGAAATAAAAGGTAATGTTAGGAATAAGGAAAGGTATAAATTGTATAGTTACTTAAGGGGGGTTCGTTGCTTTTTTTATCAGAGGGAAAGACTAGGTATTTTTTAGTTGGGGAAACTGTGTGCTTACCTGGTGCTTGTATAGCAATATAATTGTAAAATACTGATACATTAGATTTGACTTGACTTTCTCTGTGACTTTTAAACAGAAAAATTATGTTGAGAGTAAACATTAAAATTTTCTAATGGGTTTACTGTTATTTTCAATTGTTTTAATTACAACAAAAATGATTTTTTCTTCACAATTCATTTATGGTTTCATCATTATGTTAATTGTGTTCTTAGTCAATGGTTTGATGCACTTCCAAATATGATTAAGAAGTAGGAAAAATATGTGCCACTTTATATGTTATTTTATTGGCTCAAGTCTCAACACAAAATAAGAAAAAAACAGCCGGAGAAGCTAATATTTTTTCTTACGGCTTAATAGTATATCAATGTAACATTTTTACCAATTTCTGTATTAAGGAGAGAAAAATCAACTGCACGGGTAAGCCTTTATAATATTGTCACTGGTAAAAGGGTATTGTTTAATCGTGTGCTATAGAATATTCTTAATCTCTATATTTAGACACTTTGCTGAGAAAATCGGTAGATTAATAAAACATGTCTGATTTAATTATGTACAGTAAATACTAACATAGAAATACTCAGGTTGCAAAGTTAAAAACAAGTTGTGAGTTTAAATTAATATGTTAAAAAAGATAGTAGTATTGATAACAAGACTTTGGCAAATTTGGTATATGTTGTGTACAAGTTATAATTTTGTACAAATTTCAATTTGAACAGACTTTTTGTGTAAGTCATTATTATTTTGGGGTGCACCTTCTTCCACCAGGTGGGGACCCTGTAGCCAAGTGGTCTTAGTAGTCCAACTACTATATCACTAGCCTATCAACACTGAGGTTGTGAGTTTGAATCTCGTAAATGGCAGGTGTGCTCGACTACAATCTTAATTGATTAGGATTGTGTAATTTCCTGCCGATGGTATGTGGTTCTCTCTGGGCACTCTGGTTTCCTCCACCAATAAAAACAGATCGCCATGAATTAGCACAATGGCGTTAAACACCAAATCAATCTCCACCAGGTGATGTAGAATTGTATTGAGTAATTTTCCAGCTTATTGTTTTACACAAATTGACATGCTTCAACCTAACATTAATCACTATCACCTTTGTATTGAAGCTGAAAATGAGGTCACCAGATGGGGTTAGATTCTATTCACATTTTGTTAATTAAACCAGATTTAAAGTCCCCAAAATATCTTATAATGTCCTTATCAACACTTTTTATCAGTGATATGTTTGATCTCATGTACATGTATAACATTGTAGCATGTAGTCATGCAAATTTGACGTAGATAAGTTAAATCAAAGACCGTGTGCTTGTTTTATCCAATTATGTTAAGAGGTTTATAAAATACTTTCATCTGGTTCAAAAAATATGTACAAAATTGGAATTTATGAACAACATATATAAGGTATTCTCTTTGTGCACATTGTGTACTGTAATGTTAACGTTTACTTCTTTAAAAAATTACATATTGTTGTAGGAAATCAAATGGAAGGATTTATGTTTTTTTATTAATTATGTTTTTGCATTTACATTTCATAGATAGTTTTCAATATGACTTCACTTGAGTTGGAGTAACTTCCCTTGGCTGCCATATTGGAGGGCAGATTAGTTGGAATTTTTATGGACCATATTAAAACATGTGGCACAAGCAAGTTGAATAAGAGATCCTTAATAGATCTTAGTGATGAACTATACAAGGCTTACCCAAATTAATATTGTTCTGGAAACAACTTTTTCTAAAGCTCAGCACAATGTATAACAAATTTATGAAGAAATTTGTGAACGTTGTCCTCCAACATGGCAGCTATTATTCATATTTTGTTGATCGAAAATTATCTAGAAATGTAAAATTCAAGGAAAGAATTAACTGAAGTTGCAAGTATTTCGTTGGAATGGGTCTTAGAAACAAATTAGTTTTATGATTCATTCAGTTAGCTTACTAATCAAAATATGTCATTATGCTCCTTATATTTTAGTGTAAATAAAAGTTAAAAGCTGTTGAACTGTATTTTGTTGTTATTCTAAATATGTTGCTAACATTTAGTAAATCTGAATGATTTATCTCTGCAGGACAATCTTACAATAATATATTTTATGGATGTTCTTATACAAAATAGAACCTTAAGGACAAAAGAAAACTATTTGGACTCAACATAAGTTTTTAAGGATAATATTGGTTGCATTGTCTAATAACTATCAAAAATATAAGTTGCATTTTTGAATGAAAGGAGATATTTGGTTTATGTCCTAGATGCATCAGCTGAACATCATATATTTCATTGAAATGTGTTATGTAATACCGTTTAAATTCTGACACATACTTAAGTCACAATCAATTATAACATTTGTCAAATCTAAAATGAGTTATTGCATTGAGGTAAAAACTTAAGAATCACTAGATTAACAAAACACAGATTCATTCTAAATGCCACATACTTTTGTATATTGACAGGTTTAAAAGTGACACCTATCTGGGAGATATCTTATATTTATATGAAAAAGTTAACTCTGAATATCAGTCTCATAGGAATGTCAAATCACTTCCTAGAATAAGCAACCCGACACATTGCTACTACTTACTAATTTATAAATAATTGGGTTAATTTCAATGTTAATTGTACATTTAATTACATTTTAACGAAAAAGTACCAGAGACATATGTCTGTGAAAGTACTAAGAAAACCAAATTAGAAAAGATTTTTTTTAGAAAATCTCAGTCTAAAAAATTCCCCATAGTAGATCTCCAACAGTCCAATTTCCATCATTTGAAAATTTAAACATAGAAAAAAAAATTAACAAATAAGCAAACCCTACTGGATTATACAGTCCACACATATACACACAGATGGCTTGTAATATTATTGTATGAACTGTCTTTGAATTGAAATAATAAACAAACAAATAAGATGTGTAGAAATTTAGTGATTGTCAGTTGAGAACTAGACTTATCGATAAAAGGAAAGCAGTGCCGCGTTAAATTTTTCATTGTCCCGAATATGCATGAAATATTTGCCATGGGACGTAAAGCAAATGCACAATCTATTCAATTTACCTTTGTGAAGCTTCCATGATAATATTGCAACATTTAACCAGCACCTGCTACCTGTATATTGTGGTATTTCACTATTATTCACCATTCAAATGTTCCTGCAATTCAGTGGTTGTCGTTTGTTGCTGTTTGGCTTATAATAAGCTATGAAAAGAGCCCGGCAAGACAAAATATAAAACTATTAAAATGTGAAAACCAACGACCTAAAAAGGATAAACGATAAACCAATATGGCAGCTATCAACCAACGATAACCACTGAATAACAAGCTCGTGACTTGAGACAGACCATGATAAATAATTTAGCGGGGTTAAACCTGTTTGTGAGAGCTCAAACCTCAACATGACTTCATCTTTTGCCTTATTGAAATTAAGAAGATGGAGGTCAAGCAAACATCATTAGTCAAACATGAGAAGGACGTACAATGCTAGAAAAAGAATAAATACTAAAGGCTCAAACATAATCACTCATCTTGTAAAAACTTGCCATATTGATATTTAAATTAAGTAAAATTCAAGATAAAATTATTTCAAATCGTTCAAAGACCCCCCCCCCCCCCCCCCCCCCAACACACACACACATTGTTTCAACTGGGTTGAATATACGATTTTTTTTGGTTCCAGATCTTAGTCATTTTGGTATTATTGTAGATCTTAACTGTTGAACATTGTAAGTGTTTTAGTTTCTGTCTATTTAATATACGGAACCTAAAACAGCTGTGATTATAGTTAATCAAGATAATAGACAACTGCTACAACTTGTCAGTCATTTTTATTTAAAAAAATAACTACTTTTATGGAATAAATTTATGTTTTCGCCCATACTGGCTTTTTTGTAGATTTTATATTCTAATAACTGTTGCGAGTTACAGTTCTCTTATTCTACAATGTTTTTCTTCAAGTGAATAGACAAGGACGCCAAAATGCCAGATGAGCTAAAACGCAATGAAAGGAATATGACAGTTGTTTTCCAGTCTTTCCGTTGGTTTATATATTCGAGATTTGGTTTTGACAGTTTTAGTGGAATTGTCCTTTTTAAATTTACCTTGGAGTTTTTGTTCTCACGATTCAATTAATTTGTTTTACTTTTATATAAAATAAAGAGATGTGGTATTATTGCCAATGAAACAACTATACAACCAAGTCCAAATGACTTGAATTCAAATAATAAGGTCACCGTACGACCTTCAACAATGAACAAAACCCATATCGTATAGTCAGCTATAAAAGTCCACGACATTACAAAATCTGAATAATTCATACGAAAAAACCAACAGCCCGATTTATGACAAAATCATAAACTAATTCAAACAAATATAACAAAATCAATCAACGACAACCACTGAATTACAGGCTCCTGAATTGGGACAGACAAATACAAAATGTGGCGGTGCTAAACATGATCATTGTGAGCGCCCACCTCCAATAACCTGTGACAATGGTATCTTTTGGGAATGGTTTGACACGAAGCACAAAATACAACTAAAACAAAGACAAACAAAAAGCACAAAAGTACCGATCTAAGAGTACTCACAGTTACTGAAAGCTAGTTCAAAGCTTATAACAACTCATAAATAAATTAACGACCTTGACTGGCATTACATCCCTCGCACGGTCGGAGATATAATAAATAAATTTATTCTCCTAGACTTAAGTATCAATCAATGAATACACATCAAACGGATTTAGCGTAAAGAAATATAAACAGACTGAGAAAACATGACTTTGTACAATGCAAAAATATAAGTACTAGTATATAATAACGACAGGATGTATGATAATTAAGTTTTCATTTGTGTAAAGAAATATGTTTTGTTTTATTTTTTCAATAACTTAATCAATGTTCTAGTACCGATAAAAAACTAAATCAATGTTCTAGTACCGATAAAAACCATATTCAAAGATTTTACTGCAGTGTTAAAATGATAACCCCTTAGAATAAGTTTATTTAAATCATCAATAAGTGTACATGGATCGTATTTTAAATTACCTTTTTCATTACAAAAGAAGGCTTTGAATGAGTTGCAGCAAATACATATGCAATCAGATTTTTCAAAGAACTATTTAATCAAATAAGAACACTTCAGTTTGATACAATTATGTGACAGTCTAGTGTAGAGCGTTGAAAAGTGAAAAAATGTCAACGTTAACCGAAAAGCACATAACTTATCTACACTGCCTTGAATGAATAAGAATTTAAAAACTTCCTTGTAGTTTTAAGGTAGCTGGGGTGTCTTCCTCCATCTTGGATTTTGAAATAGCAGATAACAATCGGTCTATATCTTTAATGAAATGTGCAAATTTAGAGAGTAGTATGTAATTCATGTGTAAGACTTTTCATGTTACTATAGAACATATGTGGTTTATCATATTTACGGCTGTATTTTACAAAAAACAGAATATTTTTGTTTGATATCTTTTTTTTCAACTTTGCCACATAAGGGGAGATAGCTCAGATAGAAAGGGAGATAACTCATATAAAGTAACTTTTATAATAGAATGTGTTGTGAATTTACTTATTTTAATATGTAGCAAGAAATCGAGTCCGATGGCCCCATTTTCTCTTTTTCTTATCTGAAAGAAAATATTATTAGAGCTATCTTCTCATATTTTATCTTACAATTCTAAGGTGTAGTTTTCTTTTTATCACGCAAAATTGTGTTTTCCATGCATAATCTATATAAAATCTGACAATTTTGCACAACCTGTAGCGTGAAAAATAGCCTGGTGACCCATACTTTTTATTATATTTTTGAAAAAAGCATGATATAAACAACATTTTGATAAATTATTAAAAAATTCTATGGATATTAATGAAGACCCCCTATCCACCTTAACGTCATGCCACCACTTTTACACCACTGTCTAAGGTTAGGATAAGGATTGGGCGCTCACAATTAGCCCAACAATCAAAACTGACAAATCCAGAAACAACAAAAAACGTTTAGAAAACAACGCATATTTTTATTTTTATTTTAATTTCTTTATCCAATTTCCCGTTTGTCCTAACCGAAGTAATGTTAAAATTATTTTTTATTTATTTCAACCCTTTCTTTTGATATTTTAGCTATATGTAATTTGCAATTTATACACAAAGTGTCTTTTTTTTCCTTTTCATTATTTTTGATTTTTTTTTCAGATTTTTTTTAAAAAGTTCTTAGTTAACCCATCCATATCCATGTTTTAGTAATATTTCCATACTGCCATCCGTCTCCACAATAAGAGGGGTCCCTTACACACAATAACCTACCAAATCCTGCAATTTGAAAATAAAACAATTATTTCTGAAGTTAACGCTATGGCAAGCCGTTTTACTGTTTATTCTAACTTCAAGATATCTCATATAATATATAACATATAATATATCTTATATAATCTATATAATCTAGTTTTTATAAGATATCTCATTTATTCTATAAGATATCTTATATAGTTTAAAAGATATCTCATATAATTTATCAGATATCTTATTAAGAAAATTGTATGAGATATCTCATGAATTTTATGGGATATCTTATAAACTTTATACGATATCTATATAAGATATCTTATAAACTATACGAGATATCTTATATAATATATAAGATATTATATATAACTATATGAGATATGTTATATAATATGTCAGATATCTCATATAATATATAAGATATTTCATATAACATATAATATATCTTATATAACCTAGTTTTTATAAGATATCTTATAAACTTTATAAGATATTCTATATACCATTATATAAAGTTTATAAGATATCTTATAAATATTTTTATATAAGATATCTTATATACTTTATATGACATCTTATATATTTTGTAAGATATCTTATATAGTTTATAATTTATCTCATATAGTTTATTAGATATCTCATATGATTTATATCATATCTTATAAAGAAAATTTTATGAGATATCTTATAAATTATATGAGATATCTTATAAACTATATGAGATATCCTATAAAGTTTATTAGATATCTTGAAGTTAGAATAAAAAGTAAAACGGCTTGCCATATTACTCTGTAAGTATATTTCATAACATTAAATGCATTGAATAACCTTGTTATATGATTGAAGGTACAAATTATCGCAGAAATAAAATCGGATGAATGAGGGATAACACCATAGGATAATAAAAAATATAAACAAAACACTTCTAAAAAAAAGTAAAAAAATATCTAAAAAAAAAAAGGAAATATAAAAGGGTATCGGGGTACTCATGTTTCCGGAAAGTTAGACAGTTCCGACTCAACTTGAGGATCTATTTGATGGATCCATTCCACTGATGAATGTTTAAGCATTACAAATTCCACAAACGCAAAATACTGAGCAGCTGAGAACTGAACTTGGATATAAACTTTATATAGGCAAACAAGGCATCTGTTTGAGGTACATACTTTCAATCGGCGGATATCATATTAATTTAAACCCATAACAATTACTTATAACACGTTTATATAAGATGTTAAGTAACTTAGACATTGAAACCCATATATATTCTTATATAAAACTTATCTAAGTTAATGGAGAATTGGATGAAGGTCAAAGTGACCTACTTGTATCAGTATTTGTACTTGCTTATCATAAACCCCAAGACGCAGCCTTACGACAAGCTGTACAATTGTAAGAACTTTTAAATATGCGAGAACTAAACCAGGATTACTTAACCATAGTGAAATAAGTTAAGTCATTGATTTATGTAATAATGGTCTTATGTTGTTGATCGTGTGACAAGTTTTCATACGGCGGTAACTGTTGCATGCATGCGAGGGATTTCCAATAAATCAAACTTCATTGAGAGTAACATGTCCGGATAAACAATAGGATCTTGCAAATATTCAAAAACAATGTAAAGTGTTATATTTACAGTACAATTTAGGAGTTGTAAATGATTTATAATACAAATAAGAATATGTGGTATGAGTGCCAATGAGACAACTCTCCATCCAAGTCACAATGTGTAAAAAGTAATGCATTGATAGTATATTAAGTTTCGCCTATAAAAATCCCTGATTTTTTACTATCCAAACTTTTAACTCGGGGGGGTGAATGATGATATTCAATCAAGGAGAGATGAACATTGAGCGCAAAGATGTGATGTACTATGACCAATCCTTATCACAGCTTAATAATTGTTAGTCCCAGAGTAGGTTTCCTGTACTGAACCTTTGTCTAGCATTCAGTAGTTTGGCTTTGTTGTTAAGGTGCAGATAGTGCATAAACCAAGGTTCCTATCCTTTGTGATGTCCCTTGGTGCCCTTTTGCACGGGAATATTTTTAAACCCCTATTAAATCCTCTTTTTCAAATTTCCCGCCATTCAACCCGGTCTACCCACTATGGTAAACATACGATGTTAGTACACAATACTTACTGCTAGCTAATTTACGAATAGCACGTTTACATGTTAACCTCGTTAATGACCTTTGTGTTGAGGAATGTTTCGTTCCATTTTTCATTGATGAAGTACTGCAATCAGAAGAAAAATGTAACACAGTCTACCTTCTACCATATTTTAGTTATGATGATGGTTAATTGTTCCTTTTTTTCTATACGACTGAAGCATATTAACCTGTACGTTTTTAAAATGTTCAAATTCACCTGGATTCATTCAAGACAAAAATAGTTTCATTTTCTAAATAATACTTCACGGTCTAGAAAATATAGATTATACATTTTATTAAAACATATTTTATTTGCTATTGCATATAACACTGAAACAGGATCAGACACAAGTTATCACAACTTAGATAGTCCTATCCTAAAAACCCTAAGTTATAATGTATTTATATAATGACATGTAGCAACAACATTAAACAATGATAAATGAGTACAATATAGTTACAGAAGAAATACACAATTTTGTTTCTTGGGGATGCGATAACTTTTAATTTCTAATCTCAGTTATTTATTATTTCTAACACGGTATAAACATTTGTATTTTCCTTAACACATGTGCTATTAAGGCTAAACAAGTTTAATTCATAGTGTTCATATAATAAAATGATTGCACTTACTTTTTTTAATTTTATTCCGGTAAAAATTCAATCCGTTACCATATGGACAGGTTTCTAATTTCATTCAGAATGTGTATTTTGTAAATAACACATTTATATCCACGTGGCAACATATGTTTACTTATTTACATGATATTTATTGATTTTGGAATAATTTGAAAGTCAAGATTTGCATATATTTATGGTACAGTGAAATTCATTACGATTGTGACAGTTGAATAGACTTTCAAACGACCTTTCGTAAAATACGGTTAATGTTTGTGTTAATTGTTAATCCATTATAATTGTGTGATTTTTAACTTGGGGGACGTATAAGAGATTGGCATAGACAGACTGCTGCATCAATATAAGTAAACTGCAGTTACTGAGTGAAAATAAAATCAAATCTGGGTTTTTATTATTTTACGTTTTACTTTGGGGTTCGTTAAGCATGTTTAAAAGTACGTGTAGAGATTTCGTGTTATGAATTGGCACAATGTATTTCTTTTTTATGCTGTTAAAAATAAAGACCGCTACATATCAGTGTGTATATCACACAATTATCCCAGATTTGAGAATATCCTGATTTTTCTAATGGAGGATTTTTTCCAAAATCGGCTAAGGTTTTATGTACCATTTCATCATTTGATGCGTTATCATTTAAGTTTATCTTAAGCAATATGCGATATGATTGCAACCGTTTTGTTTTCGTCATACATGCTATATTTAGTGAACGCTTGCTTTTCTGGCGTAGATTAAATTCGTTTCATTCTAATTTTTATGCCCCATTTATGGGCATTATTTTTTTTCGGTCTGTGCGTCCGTTCGTTCGTTCGTTCGTTCGTTTATGCATTCCAATAACATAAAATGTTCCAAAAAAAAGTTTCGATTAAAGGGCAACTGCATACAATGATTTAATAAAGAGTGGCCGTACTTTGACCTATGATGGTTTACTTTTACAAATTGTGACTTGGACGGAGAGTTGTCTCATTGGCACTCATATCACATCTTCTTGTATTTATTGTAAGAGTTATTTTCGTTTGTCTTATTTTGATTTTTACTCCACTGTGATAGCAAAAACAGGCTAAGTCATTTAACAGATTCAAAACGAGACGCAAAAAACACTTGACTCATCACTATTCATTAAATATTTTAAAAGTCCCTTATAATCTCAAGGTATACCTTACAATACCTTAAAATACACAAACAAACACTCATAGGTCCATGGAGTGCATGGAACTCCACCCTTTTCGGTTACTTGTCTAAATGTTTTGACGTGAACATTCTTATAATCCAGTTTTTGCCCCGTTCCTACTCAAATTTTGTATCGCCGCCTATATAGATGCGTTTAAATATGTAGTTAAACCTCCTGTTAAAAACACGACATTCAACATCCACGAATTCCCATCAATAGCATTAATATAATGATTATTTATTTATGTAAGAGTAATAATACTGTATGGGCTATTCGCCCTTATTTATATAATAAAATTTGGAACTGCTTACATCAATTCATACATTTTGTTCCTTGCATACATTTTGTTATTATAAAACACCCATGCAACCACGCATCCCATATTGCCTGATAGGACCCGACATTACTTTAGTGTTTCGGCAGTTAAAGCTTGGGATGGTCATCTGAAGATGCAGTATTTTAATATAATCAAATATGAAAATTATTCATGTATATATTGATATATTCATATTTTAATTCTTCGTCAATAGATCTAGATATTATGGCAGGTCTGCCATCATCAGGGGTCCAACTGTCAATTTTATGTCAAAGTCTTTAACTTTGATCTGCAAAGCATATTTCCTACACTTTTATGTTTGCTATACGCAACTATTGGTGCAACATTGAATATTTGTACACAATCTTCGTCAAACTGCAATAAATGCCAGTGTTTCATGATACGTTTTTTTTATTTTACGTATATATGGGTTATATTTAGTTATCAAAACTTACGGAATATTTTCTGTTTCTTTCGATTTATTATGTTGTAATAATTCAGTACGGTCAATTGATAAAGCATAGTAATACTATCATCTATTTCGACGTTATCATAACCCCTATCTAATAATTTCACTTTGAAATTAGTTAGATTGTTTATTAATTTGTTATGGTCACTCGTGTTTCTAATCTGCCGTGTTGCTTCACCTTTAATAAATCCTCGGAATACATGCTGTGAGTGACAGCTTTTTCTGTGCAGATACAGATAAGAATTTGTTTCTTTAAAATGTATTTCAAGGTCAAGAATGCCATGTGTTGTAAATCCTATCAGGTCCTATCAGGCAATATGGGACGCGTGGTTGAATGGGTGTTTTATAATATCAAAGAGTATGTTAAATCGTTATACAACCAAGGCATTATCGACAACATATCATTTAAATATTTAACAAATGGTCAAAAGTTAAGAGATGCACGTCTAGGGAGAATTTATATTCTTCCAAAAATTCACCGCCTTGAAACGGAGACGTTCAAACAAATACAACATGATGGATTAAATGAATTAAATATAATTCCACCTGGCAGACCAATTATATCACAGTGTGGTTCCGTAACTGAACTTATCGGTCATTATGTAGATTATTTTCTTATACCTATAGTTCAAAATCAGTCTACATATAAAAAAGATACCACATCTTTCATTAATATCATTGAGAAATTAAAACCTATGGCAAATAGCCTTTTTGTTTCGTATGATATAACACAGATGTTTACTAATTTTCCTCAAGCTGCTTTATTAAGTGCTGTTGAACGAGCCTATGACAGTTTTGACAAATCAAACTTCAAAGTCAAAGCTCCGCCGGTCAATGTATTAATACATCTGTTGAGACTCATTTTAGAAAACAATGTATTTGAATTTGATGGGAAAATATATAAACAAATAATAGGTACGGCAATTGGTGCAGTCCCTTCACCGGAAATCTGTGACATACTTATGTTCGAAATAATGAATCAAATAATTTCTGCATTTCAACATACAGACAAAATATTCTATCATGGCAGATATAGGGACGACTATGATGGATTCATAATATATGATGGAACATCAGATGAAATTACAGATTTTTTTCGTCTTGCAAATAATTATAACCCTTTATTAAAGTTCACCTATGAAATCTCAAACGATAAAATGCCGTTCTTAGATATTTATGTAATTAAAGGTCAAATATTTACAACACATGGCATTCTTGACCTTAAAATACATTTTAAAGAAAAAAATTCTTATCTGTATCTGCACAGAAATAGCTGTCACTCACAGCATGTATTCCGAGGATTTATTAAAGGTGAAGCAATACGGCAGATTAGAAACACAAGTGACCATAACAAATTAATAAACAATCTAACTAATTTCAAAGTGAAATTATTAGATAGGGGTTATGATAACGTCGAAATAGATGATAGTATTACTGATGCTTTATCAAATGACCGTACTGAATTATTACAACAAAATAAATCGAAAGAAACAGAAAATATTCCGATAGTTTTGATAACTAAATATAACCCATATATACGTAAAATAAAAAAAACGTATCATGAAACACTGGCATTTATTGCAGTTTGACGAAGATTGTGTACAAATATTCAATGTTGCACCAATAGTTGCGTATAGCAAACATAAAAGTGTAGGAAATATGCTTTGCAGATCAAAGTTAAAGACTTTGACATAAAATTGACAGTTGGACCCCTGATGGTGGCAGACCTGTCAGAATATCTAGATCTATTGACGACGATTTAAAATATGAATATATCAATATATACATGACTAATTTTCATATGTGATTACATTAAAATACTGCATCTTCAGATGACCATCCCAAGCTTTAACTGCCGAAACACTAAAGTAGTGTCGGGTCCTATCAGGCAATATGGGATGCGTGGTTGCATGGGTGTTTTATAATAACAAAATGTATGGATTGATGTAAGCAGTTGCAAATTTTATTATATAAATAAGGGCGAATAGCCCATAGAGTATTATTACTCTTACATAAATTAATAATCATTATATTAATGACATTTAATTGATGGGAATTCGTGAATGTTGAATGTCATGTTTTTAACAGAGAGTTAAACTTTTTAAAATATGAATCCAATACTACAAGCTGCATTACAAGATTGTGTCATTTAATACACAATCGTGTACATACACACACTGTGTGTGTAACACATCTGTTATTTGATCTTATATCTATAAGAGTATTTTTTATTACTATATACTGCATGTTCTGATACATGCGATATTTCTATAGATCTCTCAGTACCACATGAATACAAGCACCGAATCTGCATCATTCATATAATTAACATTAACCGGAATTCAGATTTGTAATAATCACCTGAAAGGTAAGTCAATACATTTCACGTGATGGATTCAAAACATTTCAGTCGACCAAACGGAAGACACTTCCGGGTAAAGATTTATCATGGTTAACGAACTATAAATCAAAATACTCATGCACTGGTTTACTCAGATGTACACAAGAAATGATTGCTGACGTATAAATACAAAATTCCATCTGTCTATAGACTGCTAGAAGTAAGTTGCAGTGGTTTTCTTACGTCCAGTGTCAAATATTTCAGACATACTTGGGTACGTTTACATCTTCATATTTGAGAGCTATTCATTTGGTATGTATATGGATCTGAAAGGATATGATTGAACAGGAAAAATGAAAAAGAGAACGGTGCTAAGCACTGTCTAAATGTTTGAAAATTGAATTCAACGAACTTTTGCATTTAGCTTTTACAACAATTCAAACAGACATCCTCCCCCGGATATGTCTTTCTATGAGACTGGAGAAGTCAAAGTGACTGACATGCTTGTATATACAATATGTAGTGGTTGTTCCTGTTCATTATAGATCCACAGCGCAGACCATTCCTAAATTCAACACTGTCTTTTGTGGTTCGATCAGTGTTAAAAGCAAGAACTCGTCTCTTTTCTTAATCTTGCCGTGATTCCATTATCAAATGTTAAGTTCATGTATCTTATACAAAGATTCTAGTAACCATTGTTTAATGATCGTTATGTTTAACGGAAGAGTGAACTCACATAAGCCCATCTTGGTTTGCTAAGCCCAATTAGTATTGGATCCAGAAACTATTAAAACTAGAGACTCTAAAGAACCTGGTCGCTCACCTTGGTCTATGTGCATATTTAACAAAGGACACTCTCCAACATTGTAGACAAGAATATAATTCATGACAAAATCTGTTTTGTTGATCTTGTATAACTGATCATTAGATCTTGCCTTGTTGATCATTTTTGTAATTTAAAGTTTCTATTTATCTTTTATTATTTTTATCAGACAAAACGCATATAAATGGTCATTAAAGGGCAATAACTCCTACAAGGATTCGTCCGATGATTTCCCCCAAATTGTGTCAATTGTAGATTTAAACTTGCTAATCATTTTTGCTAATTTAAGTTTCTATCTATCTATTATAATATTTAAGATATAAGACAAAAACGCAAAAAAATAAATAAAAGGACAATAACTCTAATAAGGAGTCGACTGACAATTTCGACCATGAAACTTATTTGAAGAACTTGTCTTGCTGATCATTTTTGCAATTTAAATTTTCTCTCTATGTATCATAGTTTTCAAGATAATAGGCAAAAATGGAAAACAAATGGTAATATTTGTCATTTAAGGACAATAACTCCTATATAAGAAGTTGTCTGACAGTTTTGACGCATATGGACAATTGGTAGATCTCAACATTCTAAACACTTTTGCTCCTGTCAGATTTTCTCTATTTATATTGGTTTTCAAAATAATAGACAAAACTTGCATTTTACCCCTATGTTCTATTTATAGCCGTGTCGGCCATCTTGGTTGGCAAGCGGCGTCATCGGACACATTTTAAAAACTAGATACCCCAATGATGATTGTGGCCAAGATTGGTTAAATTTGGCCCAGTAGTTTCAGAGAAGATTTTTGTAAAAGTTAACGACGATGACGACGACAACGGACGACGGACGACGGAAGCCAAGTGATGAGGAAAGCTCACTTGGCCCTTGGAGCCAGGTGAGCTAAAAGGGGGAGGTGGTAACATTTGACTTATGGGTTTAACTTACTAGATTTCACAACAATTCAAAGACATTGGGACTGGTGAACCCGAAACCTTTTTTTAGGTACATTTTCCATACTAGTGACAGTCTAGGTTATGTGACACTATTTATACTTCTTTAAAACATCTGTTTATAATAATTCAAAGCATGTGAAACCACGTATTTATAAAATTTCGCAATGTTCATAATTTGTTTTCTGGTTTCAGACAATGCAGAAAACAACAGTTTATTCGCTTAAGGAATGGGATAACATTTCTAAAATACCTCTCATACATATGACTTATGTTATGCAATTACTTCTGCCCCGCCGCCATATTGGACGAGAACGCCTACAGGCGGATAAAGAAAAAGTTCTGGCAGGATGTTCGCCTGAAAAGCTAGGTATACAGCATAGTTTAAAGATAGTTCCAGTTGGAAGTAAATCGGAAGGTTATGGAATACCGGACGCAGTTAGAATGACCGGGGATCATCACGTCGAGTTTTTGTCGGACATTGATGTTATGCTTGTAAAAGAAGAATTTCAAGCAGGAGCGAGTGAATTTAAGGAAGACGGCACAACACATTCTGTATTTATTGAGACTAATCAAACGCACCCTGGTTATGGAAGGGTTCGATTAATTGCACCTAAAGTTAAGGATAGTCCACTAATTTTTCATGACGACGAAGCAAAAAAATATTATATAAGTTCATATATGCTAATGAAAGAACAATACAATCAGGTAAAAGATGACCCTGATGATGTTTTCAATTATTTACGACAAGGTCCAGCTATTTCAACCGAAGATTCTCACCAGCTTACTCTTCATCGAGCAAAAAGTGGTAAAATATATCATCCTTATGATTATGTGATTGCTATACCATGCGAGGCATGGCCGGATGTTGCTGTGGAATGGACACAACGAAAGCGCCGTAATGGCTGGTTAACTCCTGATATTATTAAAGAAATTGTTTCTTGTGGTTGTCACATGGTACCAGTTGCACATCGTCACAGTACTCGCCCCGAAATTGAATGGAGATTATCATTTGCTAAAACTGAGGAGCTCCTTGCTCGAAAAGCTGTTACTTCAGGCCAGAGACAGTGCCTTATTTACGTGAAGATGCTACGGCTACAGCTGAACATGAAAAAACTATCATCTTATTGTCTTAAGAACGTGTTTTTACACTGTTGTGATGAACTACCTACGACTGCTTGGGATAATGACCCAGCTGGTTGCGTGATTTATATGATAGACATTTTAATTGAATGTATAGATCGGAGATATTTACCTGGCTACTTCTTACCTAAAAATAATCTAATAGACCAATTGGAAAACCAGGATTTTGACGAGATTAAGTCTTCTTTGAAAACGATGCGAAACGATCCTTTATCGCCGATTTTAGATTTTAGTGATTTCCGAGTCTTTATACTCTCAACAGAAGACTGTATAAGTTATAAAACGTCGTTCCGCGATATTGTTCGACCTATCATGAACGACATTTTATCTAGATCTCATCTTGAGACGAAACAGTCGATCTTGGGTTGCTTTTTAGATGTTCAATGTATAGTAGCATCAGTCATGCTGAGTGAAAAACGCTCACCATTTTATTTTCATTTAGATTTCTATCAACTCTTTATTCAGAAATATTTTCAAACGCCATTTCTTGATTTAATTATATACATAGGCATTAAACTGAATTCTGCATTTCTAACGCTGATGTTTTATGAGAAATGTTTGAAAGAGGTCACTGATTTTCCAGAACTTGAAAACCTGCGAGGTGATATGGCTTGCATGTGCTTTTCCCTTGCAAGAACTTGTGATGAACAATGGGCAGCGACAATGCGTTTAGGTCAGGCAGAAAGGATTTTCAAAGAAGTTGTACGTAAAAGTGGTGTGTACCATCCAAGCACTATTGACTATTCAAATTTTCTGTGTTATACTGAAAAATGGAATGAAGTCATAAATTTGCTTGAAGAATTCATAGAATCCGATGAAAAAAAGCGAATGGTGATGGCAAACATATATCATAAGGTCGAATCTCCAACGTTAAATGAACAAATTAAAAAGGAAGTTTTATATTCTGGTTATTTCGAGGCAAATTCCCTGGCTTTTGCATATTACTTTTTGGTCAAAGCATATTTGAAGCTTGACTCAACCAAAGTTAAACAAGTTCTCGGCAAATTCTTGACATATTGTCAATCTACAGTAAGCTACGGAAATTTCGAACTTCTAGGCTATAGTGGAGTAAATACCAGAAATTACTTTCTGGCAGAACTAGCATTCTCAAAGGCTATAGTATTAACACAACATAAATCACTAGCGGAAGAAAACGTTGCTTCATGTAAGAGTAAAATCTGGCATCATAGAAAAAAGAACTTGTTCAAATACATTTTGATCATAGGAAATATTTTAGACAATAATTTACATAATGTGTGCGATATTTTATTCCAGACAATTCAATAGATTGAAAGAAAAAAAAAACCCAGCAGCACGCATATTTAAAAAAAGATAATCTAATATGCTTAGTTCTTTGGTGTATATTTAATTGTCTCATTGGCTATCATCCACACATTTTTATATTTAATGCAAGAATACATGCGAAGTAACAAAGGTAAAAAAGTAAAGGTATTAAAGGGGCATTAGCTACGAGATATAAACAAAATATATATGATTTCTTTTTGTTCAATCATTAATGAAAGTGAAATAGTGAAATAATAATTCGCTTTTAACAGTCAGTTTGGTTCAATTTTGTCAAAATAAGCTAAGAAACATCGCTGATGAATTATTCACTTGCAAGTGAATAATTCGACCTCATTGAATGCGTATTCATGTGACCTTCAATTTAATCCCTTAGCTAGAGATTGGTTACGCATGTATTAAGCGTGTTCAGCAATTAACAGGAAAATAATGTCAACATTGAAAGTGAAGCAAAGGTGAACCATTTCGTTGACAGATTCAATCCACAAAAAAACATTCTTATACAGGTAAAAAGGATGATTAACTTATTTTTAAAACCTAAAACACGAACTCAGTCAAACAGACTTAGAAAAAATCCTATTTTTATTTATGTTTATGTTTATATCGAATTATGTGACCGTCGGCAGTCTTCCGATGTCATCTCGATAGTTAAGTAGATGGCGTCTAGACTAAAATACACATGAAATGCTGATATATATTATCGATTCCATGCATTGTTAATTGTTTATTTGACTTATTGTAACTCTGATATACGTTTTAGTATGTTGTAATAAAATATTAGAATTTGAGTCAAATCGGTGAACATGAATTTGACAACTAATGCCCCTTTAACTTAAAAAATAATTAAAAAAGTCAGAATCGACCGCTCGGAACAACATGACGACGACAACAAATGTTTCAACGATTGCTTTTTGGAAAAAAAAGTGTATGCATAGGTATATAACGTCACCAAACCTTCAGTAGTACCAACAAAATGTTACAACAAAAATACCTAACTCCAAGGTGAATTCAAAAAGGGGGCAGTCCATACTGACAAAACTAAACACTCGACTAAATCAAACAACGTAACGACTGGAAATCAACTGTCATATTCCTGACTTGGTACAGACCTTTTCCGAAAAAAAAGGTGAATTAAAATTATAATAATGACTGAATTCAACAGTTCTATGTAGTCAAAATGCCGAGACAAAAACGTATCATTATGATAAATTATATATATTTTCTCATAAAACAGACCATTATGAGGTAAAAACTACTAATTTGCTAGGTATGTCCAATATTTTGACTAAAGCAATTTAATTTCAGTCTTTTTTTTATGAGTTTTGATATAATTTAAGCGAACTGTATTGTTAATATCTTGGAGGTAGGAAAACAGACCATTATATTGGTATGGTGTAAATATTGGTGATTTTTTTTTTGGTACTGTTTATGAACTTCAATGTACGACTTTCTAATATTGTACAACATTAAGGATATTTAAGAGATTACAACCAGTACTTTATTCATAACCATAATATGATTAAAATTAAATGATAACGTGCGCCTTGTGTTTGTTGTACTTATGCAAATCTACCGCTAGTTCCCCGTGTTGGACACGTTGTCATTTTAAATGAAGAAAAAACAACTCATCAGATATACAATGCATCTTCTTCACGCAAACCTCAGAGTCCGTGTTTATCTATTCTGTTTGCTAATTTTCGGTTATATCAGCACTTCAAAGTCCGAAGTAAGTTTTGGATTTTCAAGATATTTTGTTCTCGAGCATCACTGAAGAGACATTGATTGTTGAAAAGCGTATCAGGTGCAGTAAAGTTGATATACTAGTACCTTTTATGATATTACTAGTGTATTAAACTACTTACAAGTCAAGTTTTTTTAAAAATATAATGAAATTTAAGCTGTGTTAGTTGACTGTGATACGATTTTAGAAACTTGTATAAATAAATATATATGTACGTTCCTATAAATGGAGCACTTTTATTTGCCAAGTAGGTAAAGTATTTTATGAGATAATTTGTTAGTGAAATAATCAATGTTCAGGCCTTCTATTAGGTTGTGCTATAATTTTAGCTTGTTGTATGTTGAAACCTTTTTTGTTTTTTTCTCAAATAGCCCATTGTTGGCTACCAAAACTACTCATTTATTATTTTGAATCGAACACGTTTCAGTTCATAATTTCAGCCATTTGCATGGAGTATGGTATACTTTACATTATCGGCGGTCCGTCTAAACATCACCAGGGACTCCTTAGAGCACAACAAAACCCTCAAATGTTATTGGACACTTTGGATAAAAAGATAAGCTTTTATATGTAAAATTTTTCATATAATGGAAAGGAAATGTTATAAATAACATTATTATCCAATTTGTCCGAAAAGGAATCAAAATAACGATGAAATTAAGTTATTTAGGCACATGCCGGTATCTCGTTGATAGTGCCGATCCTTAGTTGACCGAATGCCAAGTGCAAGCCAAAACTCATTACAGTTAATTTAACTAATCGTGATCGATAGAACACGTGATAAACTGTTATAACACCAAGACAAGTAGATCAAATGTATTGTTGTATTAAGTATTAAAATATTGGCATCTATTGAGCTTTTGTCTTATTTTTTCCGACATTCGTATTCATCATAGAAAACCGTAGCAGATTGATGATGATGATGAACGTCATGATTGATCGATGTGTAACATCATGAAGGATTGGTGTTTAACGTCCAGTGGAAAATATTGCTTGCATATCAAGACGAGAACACATGGGATGTACTAGGCCGACAATCAAAGCTGTATTTTTAACGCGCTACTTTTCAAGTTAACGGTCCATAGAAAGACCCTAACCGTCCAGCACTCGAGGCGAACATGCTACCATGAGACTACCGAAGCGGTGTGCCGGCTTTGATAAGCGTCAAATATTGTAAGAGTGTGGGTAGCTGGTAAACATAAGGGAAACATGTTTGATACTCTTGCAAATTTGTAGTACCAAACAGAATATGTACCTTCTCGTATGAATGAGACAGCACTAGAACACAAAAACATTCAAAGGACATCTCTAAGGTCAACACACGATCTTCAACACTCTAGACCATTGTCTATATCATATATCTATCTGTCGAGTCTGTAAAAGTTGTAAATAAGTTTAACAGACTGAAACTATCAAAGGTTTGCCATTAACATGCAATTTCACCAAGGACGAAAAAATAAAGATATAATTCTCTTTTAGCCATAGCGTTGTCAGTTTATCTTCAACTTATGAGTTCGAATGTCGCTTTGGTATCTTTAGCCTCTCTTTAGACAAATAGCTGACGAAGGTACCGGCTCGGGATTTGGATCAAATAAGTTTTGGTTTAGCACCAACTCTCTTTAATTTCTTGAAGCAACAATATATTAAGATAAATATTGCAATTAAAAAAAAGTTTCTTTACAGGTAAAAGAGCTAAGTATGCTGTATGCGCGTTTTGATTGCGTAAGACTCTTCATTTGAGCTTGAATCAGTTGGAAGGCCGTAATGATATTGAGTCGAAGACGCTTAAAACCAAATATTCCAAATGAAAATGAAATATCAATACTTTCATGTGCCCTGTCGTAATTGTTATTCTGAAAGTAGTTAAACTACTTCCTCGTTCATAGAGCTAGGTGATCCTATTTGTTTGGAAGTCCTTGTGGATGATCGATCAAATTACACAATGCAAGAGATGTTTTATGACCTTCTCATGCTTTTTATTTCATATATTCTAAATGTAATATATTTTTGGCAGACATACAACAGTGAACAAACAAAATACTGGTGATCGAAAGGATAAGTACACGAATGTTGCATATTGTTAATTTAAACATTTAATCACATGTCAATATCAAAATTTGCTTATGGTATTATGTCATATTATCTATATTAAGTAAAGGGTATTTTCAATCTTTTTATCAATATCATATCGCCATGTTGGAAAAAAAACCTTCGATATAGCACAGTAGAGTTGTAATAACAGCTGGCAGGTATGTACAGTATAATGTACATTATTTGGATATTACGATCAGTTAGTCAAAATACAAATATTTACGATAACGTTAATTTGCAGTTTTGTACATATATATTTTACAGGTTGAACACAGTCGGGGAGGGGTGAAACATTTTGTAATCTCTGTCCTGCCTTTTTATTTTTCACTCTGTTCGGTCCTGCCTTTTTTTATTAGTTTATCCTGACTTTTTTTACACAAATTATCATCCTGCTTTTTTTTTGCCAAGTTGCTCATCCTGCCTTTTTTTTTAATCAAAACTCCTGTCCTGCTTTTTTTAAAATTTCATCCTAGCCCCTCCATAAAAATCAAATGGTAGCTCCCTAAACAGGTTGGGAACAATCCTCCAAATGGGGAGCTATTGCCTAAATGTGTAACAACAACCTCAATTGAGTAATGATTTGATAGTGTTAAATTAAACCAAAAAAAATCTTAGCGGAGTCTTTTTACTTCAAAGGGCACAAATTTATAGAAAATGGAACAACTTCTTCTAAAGAAACGTTCTTTTATTTTGAGTTTTAAAAACGTTAGTAGCCTTGAAAATTGTCAATTTGTCGAAGTTTTCATAGCCTTATAACTTCTCAGTAAATCAGGTTATTGGTCTTTGAAGTGTAAAATCTGTATAAGAAATAATAGTTTTTTTTAACAGTAGAAAAGAATCCCTCATTTGAGGGATGGTTACTCATTCTGGGAACTATTCCCCAGTTGGCTTCTTGTCCCCAATCTGCTAAGTTGGGAATAATAACATGTTTGGATAATTATCACAAATTGGATGTATATTTGATTAGAATGCAAATTGAAATATTTTGTATTTCAGTAGTGACAACTTTTTTGGTTAATGACTCTTCAAAAAGCTAAATCAGTTGCTAGATGTATCCCTCTGTTTTCCTAAATTTTCCAAGGGTCTAAATTCATGAACAATAAGTATCAAGAATAGTGCTTTCAAAAAGTTGTTGCTTTTATCTAAATATTTGCAATTTTCGCTTTATGATATATTTTTCCCGGAAACTAAACTATATATAGCTAATCAGATAAAATATCTTGAAATCTCTATCTGTTTGTATAATCTTTTATATGACAGATAGAAAAAAAAATTAATCCCGTTTCACTTTCGATTTTTAAATTTCTGTAAGTTTTATCATATTCTATTTTCAAATGTTGTACTAACAAAACACAAAATAAAGATTATAGGTTTCACGATTAAAATAAAATAAAAGTTACAATAGTCAACGCTATTGGCTGTCTTGATCTTGTTATATATAAAGAGTTTTGCATCTATTCTATTAGAAATGCTATTAAAAACCATAAGCTTACACATTTCCTGTTTCAATACAGCTTAATGGCAAAATTGTTGCAGTCAAACCAGTTTCAGTTAGGATTCCGGTTTTTGAATGGTTTATTGTAAGGTTTAAAAATTGTTTTGGTTTTACAGTTTCCAAACAAATTAAAAGTTCTGATAATGGTTTGTTCAACTATTCAAACCAAACGAGAGGGTTGATATGTTTCAGTTTTTCTAGAAACATATGTAAACCCTGTTTCGATTTCAAGCTATTTTGGAACCAGTTTAGCGGAAAAAATATATCAATGTTTATCATATAGCGAAAAAATACAACAAACTATACTTAAAAGGGAAATTTGGCAAGTCAAGTTTCTATTAAGGGGGTGACACGGGGTGCCCTTTTCCCAAATCCCGCTTTTTTGTAATTTTTTCCCACTTCCCACTTTTCGTCAGTCTTTTTTCCCAAATCCCACTTTTTTAAGCCCTAAATTCCATATCCCTTTTTTTTACCCCTATATCCCAAAAACGTGTCATCCCCATTTCTATTTAGTGTGACGGTTATGTTGTGTAATTATATAAGTGTAAAAAGCATGCAAAAGGATTTTTTTTTATTACATAACTTATCGCATTAACACCTTTATCTATCTTAATATTGAAACTTATATAAGTTTTATCAATAGTTCAATAAGATAATTGACTTCAATATTTTATTTCATTGCAAAACTCCTTACTTTCACCTGTCATACAATAGTTACTAGAGTGAGACGTTATGTGGCATGTGTACGAGTTACACTGTATAGAGGAATTAATTTGATTTAGACTCTATATCATACTTACTTCGTGAAAATATTCCTGTTGTAACCAAACCGTTGTATATTATAGTATTTATGTAATTGCATCAATGCTTTTGATGTATATATGATCATGATTTTATGAAATCATTTCTTATGAATTGCTTAGAGCAAAAATAAAATAAAAATTTGATCGACACGTCAATCATGGAAAAAATCCTATCAAGAAGATTAAAAAAAGTGAAGTTATTTTTTTTCCTGGCTTACATGCTCACTTACAAAGAAAACATAAGTAGTTGTTGTCGTTGATGTATTTATTGAGGGTTCAACTAATCTGCAAGTTTCATTTGGTATGCCATAGACATATAGCATGCACTCTGAATCATTACAGTTCTGAAATTTGAAACTCTTTCAATGCAGGTAAACGAGGGACTCGTGCACGATATAATGTACTTTGAAGAATTAAAAGATCTTCGAGAAAGATATCGAGCTTTATCTTTAAGATCCGGAGATAGTAGTCAAATCACTAATCCAATTGTTGTTCCTGGATACCAACAACTTCAGAAGCAGCGATCTGAAATTTTGCCTAGTGGGCAATACCAGACATTTACAGGTCAGGATTCAGACAACGACGGTCAGCAAGAGTTCGTTGATCGATCCGGAGACAATCTTTCAAACACAGAAGCGGATTTATATGAAATTGCAAAAAGAGTACACGAACAACAAAAGAGAAGGTACTTATTTACGGATTTGTCAGATACAAATAATAATGAGTGTTTGGTAATAGAACATAAAAGACAAAATCCTCCAAAATACGGAACTTATAGTAACGAAGATGTGAGATGCAAATCGTATCAAGGATGGGAATCTGAGTGTGAAAGGCCTACTATGCTTTTTGCAAAGTCTGGGTTCTTTTACAGAGGTAAGATGTACATAAACCTTTAGTCAGAGTCATTTTCTAGCCCGAAAGAAACAAAGTCTTCAGTCATTACCCTGTGGTGATATATTTATCTTTAAAGACCCAAATAGTGCTAGAAACTTGTCGTATCTCATTGAATACATGTTAGTTTTTGCATTTCAATAACATTATATAAGCTGGTAGATAAGACACGAATATACCTTCGCTCTACTTGATACCCAAAATACATATGTGTAATAAAGTTTACTGCTCTATATGTACTGAAATGTACATCGTAAAATATTTCCATACACCAAATATAGTTGACCTACTGCATACAGTATTAGAAAAACAGACCAAAACACACAAAAAAACTTAATATTGAGCAATGAACTGTGAAAATGAGGTCAAGGTAAAATAAAACCTGCCATACTGACATGTACATCGTAAAATATTTCCATACACCAAATATAGTTGACCTACTGCATACAGTATTAGAAAAACAGACCAAAACACACAAAAAAACTTAATATTGAGCAATGAACTGTGAAAATGAGGTCAAGTCAAATAAAACCTGCCATACTGACATGTACATCGTAAAATATTTCAATACACCAAATATAGTTGGCCTATTGCATACAGTATTAGAAAAACAGACCAAAACACAAAAACTTAAAATTGAGCAATAAACCGTGAAAATGAGGTCAAGGTAAAATAAAACCTGCCAGACTGACATACACATCGTAAAATATATCCATACACCAAATATAGTTAACCTATTGCATACAGTATTAGAAAAACAGACCAAAACGCAAAAACTAAACTATTGCCACTGAACCATGAAATGAAGTCAAAGTCAGATGACACCTGCCAGTTGGACATGTACACCTTGCAATCATTACATACACCAAATATAGAAGACCTATTGCTTATAGTATCTGAGATATGGACTTGACCACGAAAACTTAACCTTGTTCACTGATCCATGAAATGAGGTCGAGTTCAAGTGAAAACTGTCTGACAGGCATGAGGACCTTGCAAGGTATGCACATACCAAATATAGTTATCCTCTTACTCATAATAAGAGAGAAATTAACATTACAAAAATCTTAACTTTTTTTCAAGTAGTCACTGAACCATGAAAATGAGGTCAAGGAACATGGACATATGACAGACGGAAAATCTTCACATCATAAGGCATCTATATACAAAGTATGAAGCATCCAGGTCATCTACCTTCTGAAATATTAAGCTTTTAAGAAGTTATTTAACGCCGCCGCCGAATCACTATCCCTATGTCGAGCTTTCTGCGACAAAAGTCGCAGGCTCGACAATAAAAACGATGATACGTTCTCGAAGGCTAAGTGAACATTGAAATTCACTTCATATAATACAGCTCCATTGAAGCTGGGAGAATTCTTTGTGTGTTCTTATTATAAGTATTCATTTTGCTAATGGTTAGTTATCATAACAACTAAGCATACCAGTATTACAATCGGTCTTTGTTAAGTTTTCTAACACAAAAAAGGAGATCAGACAAAACATGGGGCAATTAAAAAAACAAAAGTTAAAGAAACACTTCTACCATGTACGACAAAACGACGAAAAGACAAACAACGGATCACAAAATACTTCAAAGAAAACTAAAGATTGAGCAGCACGAATCCCAGCAAACATGGGACTGAACACTGGTGCTCCGGAACGAGAAGCAGTTCCTGCTCCACTCATGGCATACATCGGTGACAAGTCGCATTCAGTAATCAATAAAAGTGGAATATATCCATGGTCATCAGTGACACAAGTATTCTATTTAGGTCATCCAAATAATGATAGCGTTCTTAAAACTTTCGAAGGAATGACTTTTTTTTTACCATTTGGACCCATTAGTTCAAAGCCTTACTTGTACGCAGTAATAATACTATTAACATTACCAATTTTACTGCACCAGATGCGCATTTAGACAATAAATGTCTCTTTCGTAATGCTAGAGGCCAAACTATTTGAAAAACCAAAACTTATACAAAAATAACCCTCTGTCATATAAATCATGATATGACACGCAAGCAATTGATATAGTTTTAACCGGGAGATATTAACTCCACATGCAGGCACTGCTAAAATGTTGCTTCACAGAAAAGGAAAGTTCACAATGTTTAGGATATGACGCAGACTTGACTGTATCTGTGGTATCCTTTTTTCATAATCAGTGGAATAGATGCGATCAACATAGTCACAAAACTTTCAATAATCAAGTTAGACTACATCAGCTATATATAGGAGCATGAAACTACAAGGAAAGTCAACTTTATTTCGTTTTTTCTTTGAAAGCTTCCGGTTCCTACGAATAGCGGAACAAGTCGAAAAAGAAGTTTCACATAGGAATGCCGACGGTATGTTTGAAAACATGTCCACCAAATGTGACAATAATGTTGTCAATGAAAAAATCTTGAGGATGTCAATTTAAGACATCCTTTTGCTTGAATCAGAGCTATTTTTTTTTTATATATAAAGTATGAATTGTAACTTCCGAAAACAATTGCATCTATGTTGGTCATGTTTATAAAAAAAACCTAGTTATTCTAATTTTTCTATAAGCTTAGAATGAAAAACACGTACAGGAATATACCAGTAAATTGGATATCGATGGAAAACCTACTATACATAGACTGAACTGAATAAAAATAATACTTTATAAATTTCGTGCGTCCGGATTGCTTATCTGGATTTACCTTCATCTATAACGCTCAAACCTAATCATTTGAAAGTCAGGCATGTATAAAAACGTAGAAACATTTGGAGCAATATGTGATCAAAGGGGATCTAACAAGAATAGCCCAATTCATCTCAGGTCAACTTAATTGAGGTAGTTGGAACCTTACTTTCTTAATAATTTTTAAATTATCCACGGGGATTTTTATTTTAGAAAAGTATGATATAAATCATGTCAGTACATAAGCACTGGCTACTTCGCTGGTGATAACTGGTGGTAACTAGTGATCCTCAGTAATCACTTGACTTTCTTGTTTCATGGTTTCAATAATTAGGTTTTGGTGACATGACGACTTGCTTCCAGTGTGGATTTGTTTACAAAAACTGGAGCAGGGATGCCGATCCCATCATTACCCATTCCACTCATCGATCTGACTGTGACTTCATATCAGAACTAAAAGAGAAAGGAGTACTATCTAGTGAAAATATCATCACAAAAACGGACACTGTAAGTTAATTTAACTTAAAAAGATGACACATATATACAAACGATGTGCGGTAACACTTACTAAAGACTGGGTCTTTGATAGATTTTACACGTGGAAGAAATTTACTTTCAATTAAAAAAAAACGTTTAAAAGCGTGCACAAAATACACAAAAATAACAATCACTTAAAAATCGCGTTCTTTTGTTTGTAAATCAAGACAAGTAGTATAATTTAAACATTAAACAAACTTCAGGAATCATCACATCATTTCAAAATCTGAAAACAGTTTCCAAATCCATTGATATATCAAACTAAGAAGCATGTTCTCTTATTTGTTTCATTTGTTTTAATTTCTAAGTATGAAGAAACAACCTTAAAAACTATAGCGGAAGGTTGTCCTTCATCAATTATTATATATACTTGGAACAGGGTCTAATTGTTTGAAAAAAAGTGAGGAATACCGGAAATACAATAATGCTTCTGACAAAAAGACTAACAGTATGATTTCTATTACAGAAATAGCAGAACGTCTGACGCCAAAATAAAATCGTTAATCTAAATTAGGATTGGAGATTCTGCAAAGTTTTATGAATTTCAAGCAATTAATCATAAAATTCCTCACATTGTCTATCAGACGAAGTTGACTGGATATTGAAAAGAATCTACTGTGTATTCTAAATTTACTTTTCTTTAAGATTTCTACTAGTATCATTCTGGGACCAATATAACTTGTATCAGTATTAGTATTAGTCCCAGTATCTTTGTATGAATATACTGCTGAATGTTTTCGGTACACGATATTTGACATTGGATATTCAACAGATATCACAAACAGAATATATTGATGATATGTTTAAATTTGAAGTTCATCCCTGCTTTGTGCTAGACTGAGTCCGATTTTCAGTCATCTATAAGACAATGGAACAGTTCGTATGAAGATATGTCACTCTCATGGGCATCTTTTTTTCAACATCAAAGCTGAACAGCATTTGTTGTTACTCCCAAAACATGACGAGTCCTTAGACTAGGGATAGCTAAACCAAATGCAATGCAATTTGTTTGTATAACGCTTTGAAATATAAGCCTTTTAATCAAGGAATCCACGGTTGACATATCCGTAGTGTGGGCATCATTTTGAATAAACTGTCATATTAATTTTTCTCTCTGCCTACGATCCTTCGAATATATAGCATAGAAAATGACGGTATAACAATCACCTGCAATTGTGGTGTAATGAATTTGATAACAATGTGTATCATTAACACCCCGATTTGTTTGAATGCAGATAACGTTTAATGGTTTTATCTTGATAAATGTATATACAAATGTATATAAAACATTCTTATTATTACATTAAAATAAAAACAAGACAGTGTTAACGCCTACTTTATAAGGGAAAACATCCATGTTGTTTAATAACACATTATGATTGCTACAACAATAATGAATCATCACCAAAATTTAAATTTTATAAATCCCTCATATTTACAGTAGGTGTTCAATTCATAAAAATGTTGATCTTCTATTGACTGAAGGATGAATAATTTGATTTCGTCAGATGCTTTCACTTTGTATGAAAACACCCCATACCATATGAAAGCAACCCATGATTATAGAATTATTACCTCCGCGTACCTAATTATTGAATACTATTTTTTTTCGCAAAGTCGTGTACTTCGTGCAAACTATTATGCTTTCAAAATTATCATGATTTCCTCGATAGAGGGTTTCTGCTTACAAGGAAGCTATTAAACTAGGAGCCCAAAGTGGTGAAGTTGAAGTCATCCCTTCAAAATTTTAAGAACGCCATGACGAGTTGGTTGACCTTGACGGAATAACTGTTTCCCAGATGATGACAGATGTGTTCCAATTGTCGGAAACACAATCCCGTCATTTTTTCCTCGAATGTTACCTACCAATAAGACTTACCACCGGGTCTGTAATAACATGAGCAGCGAGACGGGTGCCACATGTGGAGCAGGATCTGCTTACCCTTCTGGAATACATGAGATCACCCAGTTTTTATGCGGGGTTCGTGTTTCTCAGTGTTTAGCTTTCTATGCTGTGTTTTTTAGACTGTTGCTTATCTTTTTGTCGTTTTCCGTTTCTTTTTTGCCATGGCATTATCAGTTCGTTTTTGACTTATGAGTTTGACTATCCCTTTGGAATAATATATATATATATATATCATGTAATGTGTTACAACTCTAGATTCTACTGACGCGGAAAGGTAACACTAGGCCACCGAAAGCTGAATTTTTAGTTCAGTCTAGGTGGCCGAGTGGTTTAGAGCGCTGGACACAGTGCAGGCGTTGTTGTCTCGATATCTCAATAGCATGAGTTCGAATCCCGGCGAGGGAAGAACAAAAATTTGCTTCCGCAAATTTGCAGATTTAACATTGTTGTGCTGATATTTAGAGTAATTTTGAATATAATATGTGTTTTCAGCCGTGTATCACCTTAACTGGTGATCCAATGCATGGATCTGTCGTAGAGTTGTCACTTTTTAGACGTACTTATATATATGTTACAGGCATTTTCTAAATTTAGGCATTTTGTAAAATGCCTTAAAACTTTAGGCATTTTCTAAAATGACTGTAAGATTCAGGCATTTTACATAATGACTGTAAGATTCAGGCATTTTACAAAATGACTATTTTTTCTAGGCATTTTATAAAATGCCTGGAAAAATTGAAAGGCATTTTATGAAAGCTTTGAACAACAGAGCAGTTTTTGAACTTTTGATTTTGCAATTTGATTGGGGACTTTCCTTTTTGAATTTTCCTCGGAGTTCAGTATTTTGTGATTTTACTTTTTATTTATGATAATTACTGAATGTTAAAGCTTGCAATTTAAGAGTTTTAATAATCAAAAATAAAGTTTTACTGAATTATTCCAAATTCACACAAGTACAGAACTCGACAATTATTTGTTATTTCTTAAAAATGTTTTGATGACAGAACTGTTACACAAAATTTGTCCTATTTTGTTTTGCAAATACATTTCGGAGTAAAATCTGGTTTTAGCATTTCGACCACATTTGGAGAAACTTGGATCATGACACATTTAGTTTTTTCGTTACCTTTGCTGATAAAACACTTAACGTTCGACAACATTGGGTTTCGAAATAAGCACACACGTCACATATGAATATCTTCTTTTTCATATGTTCCCAAAAGATTCAAAGTACATTATCATGATGAGTTTGACTTGTATCTTTTGGTTTTTAGCTTTTAAAGGACTGAAGCAGATATGCCCATGACGGGTGATGCAGCAACAACAGGGGATGCTTACCCTGTCAATGCAACGTTATTTGTCTCTTTTGGGTCGATTTTTGAGATTTAACTTCTGTCTCAATAATTCATCAGATGGCAAAGACCCATGAATTTCCTTGAGGCGGTGAAGATGAAGATACTCATATCTTTACATCACACCCAAACAATGCCTTGTATGGCGAAAACCATGCTATACAGGGGAATTTGTTTGGATGTGGATGTATAAATTCTCATTCTGTCTGAATGGGGACATTACATATATTGCAACATGTTAGTAAAGTGCTACACTCTCTGCACGTTAAGAACTCTTTGACCGTTCTGCAGGTGGAATTTTCTGTCCCTATCCAAAATACCTTCATTTCAAGCGGCAGTCGAAATTTCTGTCCTTTATCCAAGTTAATCCACTGCTGAAATAACTCATATGAATTATAACCAAATTGTTTTCGTCTTAAAAATGCATGAAATATTTGCTACTGAAAGCAAGCAAATCAATCAGTCAATTAAAAACAAACTACTTTTTCTCAGCTTCATATGTTTCACTTCACTGTTTTGATTCGATTTTCTAAAAATTCGTTTGTAAATTTTGTTCTATTAAAAGAACAATTTGTCCTTCTGCCATTTTGACAAAATAATCATAAATTTACTATCTAAAAATACAGAGTGAGTACATACCTAACGTAGTTTCACTAAAAAGAACATATCATATGACATACAAACTTTCCCAGCTGGTTTTTGAAAAATAAATTAATTCTACCGAACCATTAGTTATTTTCTTTGCAAGATGTTGTGTTTTTGTCCACTTTTTGTCATATGCATCTCAATGATATCCTTTTTCTACAAATTGCATGAAATTGAACAGGCAATTTGTTGAATTTTGTTTCAAAATTTCAGTCATTTTACATAATGACTAGGTATTTTTAGTCATTTTATATAATGCCTGTCAAGGTTAGGCATTTTATAAATTGCCTGAAAATTCAGTCATTTTACAAAATGCCTAAATTTAGAAAATGCCTGTAACATATATATACCTTTTAAAGATTCGATGCACTGTTTATTGTTCCTGATGTATTTTTTTGTAATTCTGTTATATGTTTTAAGTATATTACAAGTTTTAGAGTTTGAGTTAATTCGGTGGGCATGAATTTAAAAACTAATGCTACTTTTAACTACAAATAAATGATCTGAGTAGATAATTGTAACATAATTATATGATACCGAATCATTATTTTATTAAAAATAAATGTTGTTGTATATGCAAAAGGAATGATTCAAATTGTATTTAAATTTCATTTTTAATTTTGAGACTAATCGAGTAATGACCCCCTTTCACGTACATTTAAATAAAAGTTGTACATTGAATAAAATCTATCAACCATTGGAGTTGTTAACAATCTGATCAAAGTAGTTTTCCTTCAATATGATTCAAAAATACGATTTCAAATATCGATGCTCAGTGTAACAGTGGTTTGATTCCGCCAGTGTACTTTATCCGGAGGAAGAAAATCTCCAGTGATTTTTATCCTCCAACAAAAATTCACTAGGTTTTTCTATCCGGGTCCAGTGTAAAACATCCACCAGTCATTATAAGGTTCTAAAAAGGGTTCTTTGAAGGGGAAATATATATAAAATGTGGCTTAATAGTTTTTAGTGTATTTGAAACTTGCATAGCTGATCTATATAAAAAGTAGAGAGTTTTCATCCAAGGAATGTTCACACTAGTGTTTTTGAACCAGGAATGATTACACTAGTGATTTTGTACCGGAATGATTGCACTAGTTATTTTATACCGGGATTAATTACACTTTAGATCCATACATTGAAGAAGTGATTAGTACTCATTTTGAAAACACGATAACACAATAATGCTTATTAACGAATAAGATTTAAATAATTTTTCTATGCAAATCTATAAAATCATATGCTTTTAAATTGTCACTAATTGTAATATTTATATTTATTGGACTACCGTTTTTCTGTGTATTTGCTCTTCGGTCGACTTGGATATAAAATCATATCTTCTTTGTCAATATCAAAGGATGCTTCTATAATTGAAACTTTATGTAAGAACAAATCTTTAAATTTGGTTCATATCAAGTTCAATGTCCTGATCATTGATAAAGTATTTTGAGTTATAAAAATATCCTCCTCGTCATCATCAATATTATTTACTAGATTGACTCCGATTAATTAAACTGGTTCCTTGAATATTATTTTAATTTTAACCCATTTATTTATGTAAACAATAAACCGGTCTAATATAAACAAAACAACAATATCAAGATCGACGCTTTCACACTATTTACATCCAATATTCTCTAGTGAAAAACAGTTACCCGGAATAAATACACGGCGGAATAAAAGTACGCTTACACTCAGCAGCAACATCAAAGTTTTGACCACTTTTTATATAAACTTTGCTTAACACTTACATGACTAAGCTCTAATGTTTGTTTTGTTTTGTTTCTTTCATTGCTATTTACATTTCCGTTTGTTGCAGCTTTCCTTTTTGATAAACAAGTCTGAATACGCCTTAATTGGTATTGTCCCTTACGTTTAAATGGATTTATAATTTATCTATATGATGATTTATGTAATAGTTATACACCGAGGGATAGGTGTGTCTGGATAAGAAACCCCGTCGGCCGGAGGCCGGAGGGTTTTTTTTATCCAGACACGCCGTATCCCGAGGTGTATAACTAACTTACACCCCATTCTAAACCCTATATTTGTTAACATTGATTATTAAATGAAAAAATAAAAAAAAACCGATAGCATATTTATTGACAATATCAAACTATGATGTTTTCTAAGATTTTTTTTTATTACATGAAACCCCACTAGTAACCTTTCTTAGGGTATCTTTGTTCAAACTTTGACAAGTGAGTATATTTTACAAATGTCAAGTTGTTTTGCATATTCCCGTTAAATCCATGGGCTAAAATGGATCAGCGGGTCAAGGTTGACCGTTTCGTGTATTCTTATTACAAACAAAAAATACATCATGCTCCTTGTATGCAGTTCTCAATATGGACGTGTATAAGACGGACGACATTATGTGGCAAGCGTTGGATTTGGTAGAAGAGACTTAAGATAAAGGCAATATTATAACCCAAAGTACTTACCTGTATCAGTGTAATAAAGGTAATCATAACTGTATTTTATATCTTACGGTTTTATAACCCCCGCCCCCCCCCCCCCCTCTTCTCGAGAAAAAACAAACATTCATATTCGGACAAACTAAGGGATAGGTGTGACCCGACTACCAGACACGCTCAACATACAAAGATACAGATTTAGTATTAAGGCACTCCCTTTTTGGGGGCAAACAGGGGCTGATCCAGCTGGGGTTTCCCAACTCAAGAGAAAAAAAGGGGGGGGGGGGGGTCCAACCATTCAAATGCATTGATCTTTTAAATAAAAGTCGGGTCCAAACCGCGGAACCCCCACCCCCAGATCGGCCAATGGGTAACAAGGGAGGGGGGTCCTGGGAGTTAGAATCCCCATTTTTTAAAAGACCAATGCTTAAGAATAGAGACATATGACTGGGATAACAAAAAAATACCTTCAAGCAAAGGAGTATTTAAAGGATTATTTTTGTATTCAAAATAGATGCTTAATTTTTTTTTTCGCTATTCGAATTTCCTAAAATGTGTTTATTTAATATCTTGAAACAATTTTCTTATGTTCATGCTATTTAAAAAATCATCAATTTCTATTGTTACGAATAACAATGGACTTTGTTTGCGGGATGTAGAAGCAGGGGTTTCCAGAAACCCCGCTCGTCACACCCTGTGGTCAAAATCCTTTGTTATTCGTAACAATAGATATATTCAATTTACACTTGTTTTAGAAATAGAAACTATGAAGTATAACAATAGAACTGGGGTGTAACTCTATTTCCACTGTTCAATTACAGCTTGGCTGGAATAGTTTACATTGCATTAAGTTACTGGAAGTTTTGTCAAAATAAATGATTCATTTAATTAAAGACTAAAAACCTAAGATAATATTTGAGGGTGGTAAAGGGTTATTTTCGTGCAATGTTTTCGGACCTTTTTATTTCACGTGTTTTCGTGTTTTGACGTTTTATTTCTCGTTTTCTCGTGTTTGGTTCGATGTGCGAGCTTCGTGTTTCCCCTTATTTATTTTTCGTGTTTCGTGTCGGTACTATATATTTCTAGTGCTTGTCCCGCATTTGATTGAAAAGTAAACTTGGACTAATTCAAAGTCAGCCCGGATATTGTTTTAAATTATGTATTAATGAACCGGTTCCCAGGATATTAATTGCTCTCTTCTTTGATAGCCTATAAGTACTTGAATAACCGTATCAATTAGTTGAAATGGAGGAAAATTCAAAACACATTGTTGAATGCATTATTATACTTTTATGTCCATTAATAATGACTGCATGATCTCCAAGAACGGCTGAGAAATAACTTCTAGTACTTTTTTCCTTAATATTTACGATTTTATTTCTCGTGCTTCGTTTTTCCCGATTTTTATTTTCCGTGCAACGTTTTTGCGATTTTTATTTCACGTGTTTCCGTGTTAAGATCCCCCCTTTACCACCCTCATATATGAACAGAACGCATAACCCTCTTTTAAATTTTCAATTACTGTGGCATTCATTTGAACGTGGATATTTTTTTGCAATCTGGATTGACCTTCATCATGCCCGCTTATAATTATTTGTCATGAATCAACATAAAACAGTAATGAATAAAAAATGCAACCAAAAGGACAATTTTTTTTCAGAATTACATAATACATTTCAAATTATTCAAATTTCATTAGATTACATTTCACCCGGTTGTTTCGATTTCTAAGCCAGATGATATATGCTCGTATACATAAACACTTTAAAAAATTTAATTTGTCTATAAGTTTAGAATGAAAAATACATACAGGAATTTACCAGTAAATTGGATATCGATGGAAAACCTACTTTACATAGACTGAATGAAAATAATACTTTATAAATTTCGTGCGTCCGGATTGCTTATCTGGATTTACCTTCATCTGTAACGCTCAAACCTAATCATTTGAAAGTCGGGCATGCATAAAAACGTAGAAACATTTGGAGCAATATGTGATCAAAAGGGGACGTAACAAGAATAGCCCAATTCATTTCAGGTCAACTTAATTGAGGAAGTTGGAACCTTACTTTCTTAATAATTTCTAAATTATCCACGGGGATTTTTTTTTATAGAAAAGTATGATATAAATCATGTCAGTATATAAACACTGGCTACTTCGCTGGTGATAACTGGTGATCCTCAGTAATCACTTGACTTTCTTGTTTCATGATTTTAATAATTAGGTTTTGGTGACATGACGACTTGCTTCCAGTGTGGATTTGTTTACAAAAACTGGAGCAGGGATGCCGATCCCATCATTACCCATTCAACTCATCGATCTGACTGTGACTTCATATCAGAACTAAAAGAGAAAGGAGTACTATCTAGTGAAAATATCATCACAAAAACGGACACTGTAAGTTAATTTAACTTAAAAAGATGACACATATTACAAACGATGTGCGGTAACACTTACTAAAGACTCGGTCTTTGATAGATTTTACACGTGGAATAAATTTACTTTCAATGAAAAAAAAACGTTTAAAAGCGTGCACAAAAAGTACACAAAAATAACAATCACTTAAAAATCGCGTTCTTTTGTTTGTAAATCAAGACAAGTAGTATAATTTAAACATTAAACAAACTTCAGGAATCATCACATCATTTCAAAATCTGAAAACAGTTTCCAAATCATCCATTGATATATCAAACTAAGAAGCATGTTCTCTTATTTGTTTCATTTGTTTTAATTTCTAAGTATGAAGAAACAACCTTAAAAACTATAGCGGAAGGTTGTCCTTCATCAATTATTTAATATACTTGGAACAGGGTCTAATTGTTTGAAAAAAAGTGAGAAATACCGGAAATACAATAATGCTTCTGACAAAAAAGACTAACAGTATGATTTCTATTACAGGAATAGCAGAACGTCTGACGCCAAAATAAAATCGTTAATCTGAAATAGAATTGGAGATTCTGCAAAGTTTTATGAATTTCAAGCAATTAATCATAAAATTCCTCACATTGTCTATCAGACGAAGTTGACTGGATATTGAAAAGAATCTACTGTGTATTTTAAATTTACTTTTGTATAAGATTTCTACTAGTATCATTCTGGGACCAATATAACTTGTATCAGTATTAGTATTAGTCCCAGTATCTTTGTATGAATATACTGCTGAATGTTTGCGGTACACGATATTTGACATTGGATATTCAACAGATATCACAAACAGAATATATTGATGATATGTTTAAATTTGAAGTTCATCCCTGCTTTGTGCTAGACTTAGTCCGATTTTCAGTCATCTATAAGACAATGGAACAGTTCGTATGAAGAAATGTCACTCTCATGGGCATCTTTTTTTCAACATCAAAGCTGAACAGCATTTGTTGTTACTCCCAAACATGACGAGTCCTTAGACTAGAGATAGCCAAACCCAATGCAATGCAATTTGTTTGTATAACGCTTTGAAATATAAGCCTTTTAATCAAGGAATCCACGGTTGACATATCCGTAGTGTGGGCATCATTTTGAATAAACTGTCATATTAATTTTTCTCTCTGCCTACGATCCTTCGAATACATAGCATAGAAAATGACGGTATTACAATCACCTGCAATTGTCATGATTGTGGTGTAATGAATTTGATAACAATGTGTATCATTAACACCCCGATTTGTTTGAATGCAGATAACGTTTAATGGTTTTATCTTGATAAATGTATATACAAATGTATATATAACATTCTTATTATTACATTAAAATAAAAACAAGACAGTGTTAACGCCTACTTTATAAGGGAAAACATCCATGTTGTTAAATAACACATTATGATTGCTACAACAATAATGAAACCGAATCATCACCAACATTTAAATTTTATAAATCCCTCATATTTACAGTAGGTGTTCAATTCATGAAAATGTTGATCTTTTATTGACTGAAAGATGAATAATTTGATTTCGTCAGATGCTTTCACTTTATATGAAAACAACCCATACCATATGAAAGTAACCCATGATTATAGAATTATTACCTCCGCGTACTTAATTATTGAATACTATTTTTTTTCGCAAAGTCGTGTACTTCGAGCAAACTATTATGCTTTCAAAATTATCATGATTTCCTCGATAGAGGGTTGCTGCTTACAAGGAAGCTATTAAACTAAGAGCCAAAAGTGGTGAAGTTGACGTCATCCCTTCAAAATTTTAAGAACGGCATGACGAGTTGGTTGACCTTGGCGGAATATAATTATGTTTCCCAGATGACAGATGTGTTCCAATTGTCGGAAACACAATCCACCTCATCTTTTCCTCGAATGTTACCTACCAATACGACTTACCACCGGGTCTGTAATAACATGAGCAACGAGACGGGTGCCACATGTGGAGCAGGATCTGCTTACCCTTCTGGAATACCTGAGATCACCCCGTTTTTATGCGGGGTTCGTGTTTCTCAGTGTTTAGCTTTCTATGCTGTGTTTAATAGACTGTTGTTTATCATTTGGTCGTTTTCCGTTTCTTTTTTGCCATGGCATTATCAGTTCGTTTTTGACTATCCCTTTGGAATAATATATATGTGGTCTAAAGCTCTGGACACAGTGCAGGCGGTGTTGTCTCGATATCTCAATAGCACGAGTTCGAATCCCGGCGAGGGAAGAACAAAAATTTGCTTCCGCAAATTTTCAGATTTAAAATTGAGAATGGAAATGGGGAATGTGTCAAAGAGACAACAACCCGACCATAGAGCAGACAACAGCCGAAGGCTACCAATGGGTCTTCAATGCAGCGAGATACTCCCGCACCCGGAGGCGTCCTTCAGCTGGCCCCTAAACAAATATGTATATTAGTTCAGTGATAATGGACGTCATACTAAACTCCAAATTATACACAGGAAACTAAAATTAAAAATGATACAAGACTAACAAAGGCCAGAGGCTCCTGACTTGGGACAGGCGCAAAAATGCGGCGGGGTTGAACATGTTTTTTAGATCTCAACCCTCCCCCTATACCTCTAGCCAATGTAGAAAAAACAAACGCACAACAGTACGCACAGTAAAACTCAGTATAAGAGAAGTCCGAGTCCGATGTCAGAATAGGAAACAAAAGAAAATAAACAAAATGACAATAATACATAAATAACAACAGACAACTAGCAGTTACTGACATGCCAGCTCCAGACCTCAATTAAACTGATTGAAAGGTTGTGTCTTCATCATATGAATATCAGGCACAATCCCTCCTGTTAGGGGTTTAGTATTATACCGTCATAAAATATATGAGAAGAACATAACCTGTGTCATGCCAACAACTGGTTTTAGAATAAATGTGTTGAATTCCGATGCAAAGAGTTGTGTTGATATTTAGAGTAATTTTGAATATAATATGTGTTTGCAGCCGTGTATCACCTTCACTGGTGATCCAATGCATGGATCTGTCGTAGAGTTCTCACTTGTTTAGACGTACTTATATATATCTATACCTTTTAAAGATTCGATCCACTGTTTAGTGTTCCATTCCATGCACTGTTTATTGTTCCTTATGTATTTTTTTGTAATTCTGATATACGTTTTAAGTATGTTACAAGTTTTAGAGTTTGAGTTAATTCGGTGGGCATGAATTTAAAAACTAATGCTACTTTTAACTACAAATAAATGATCTGAGTAGATAATTGTAACATATAACTATATGATACCGAATTATTATTTTATTAAACATAAATGTTGTTGTATATGCAAAGGGAATGATTCAAATTGTGTTTAAATTTCATTTTAATTTTGAGACTAATCGGGTAATGACGCCCTTTCACGTACATTTAAATAAAAGTTGTTCATTGAATAAAATCTATCAACCATTAGAGTTGTTAACAATCTGATCAAAGTAGTTTTCCTTCAATATGATTCAAAACGATTTCAAATATCGATGCTCAGCAACAACATCAAAGTGTTGACCACTTTTTATATAAACTTTGTTTAACACTAACATGACTAAGCTCTAATGTTTGTTTTGTTTTGTTTCTTTCATTGCTATTTATCTTTCCGTTTGTTGCAGCTTTCCTTTTTGATAAACAATAGATATAAGAAGATGTGGTATGAGTGCCAATGAGACAACTCTCTATCCAAGTCAAAATTTATAAAAGTAAAAGTAACAAGTCTGAATACGCCTTAATTGGTATTGTCCCTTACGTTTAAATGGATTTATAATTTATCTATATGATGATTTATCTCTATTTCCATTGTTCAATTACAGCTTGGCTGGAACAGTTTACATTGCATTAAGTTACTGGAAGTTTGGTAAAAATAAATGATTCATTTAATTAAAGACTAAAAACCTAAGATAATATATGAACAGAACTCATAATCCTCTTTTAAATTTTCAATTACTGTGGCATTCATTTGAACGTGGATATTTTTTGAAATCTGGATTTACCTTCATCATGCCCACTTATAACTATTTGTCATGAATCTACATAAAACAGTAATGAATAAAAATGCAACCAAAAGGACAAATTTCTTCAGAATTACATACTACATTTCAAATTATTCAAATTTCATTAGATTACATTTCACCCGGTTGTTTCGATTTCTAAGCCAGATGATATATGCTCGTACACATAAACACTTGTCCTTGAAAATAAAATTAAATATATACCTTAATATTAAGGTACATGTATATAGGTAATTTTTTCAGAGACAAGTGACTGTAATCCCCCTCCCCCTTTTCAGTCACAGGTTCAGATATGAGATCCAATTACACGGACTTGATCACATATATTTATGGTACAGTGAAATTTATTACGATTACTGTAAAAATAATGATTTCTAATTACATCACCACATAGTGTAGCTGCGTCATGCACAGAATAATGGCTCAAGCGCGAGACATTTTTTCAAGTTCTCGTTTTCAGCATACAAGAAACTATTCAAGTTTTATCGAACTATATTAGTGAAACATTAGCAAAAACTTATTATTATTAATAACATTAAAATTAATGAGACAATGTAAATTGAACTGCGTATCAATTACCAAAATACAACAAGAAAAACTCTATTGTATTCTACTTTCTTATAGTCAAAATTAAATCCAACGTAAGGGATATTTATACTTCCGCCTAAAGTTCCGTTATTGCGTTGTATGTGTGACATTCAAATAGTAGAGTTTATAAGATTGCAGCAGTATATTAAAAAAGGTGCATCAATAAGGAATGAACATACAGGTTAGAAACTTCAACTTAAAAGCGCTGTATAGCGCGATGCATGACATCATAATACAACACCATAGGCGGCATTTCTTTTAAATTCAAATAATTTTCAAAACGAAAGTTGATTTTCAAAACGAAAGTTGATTTTCAAAAAATGAAAAAATTAATTGCAAAAATGTCATGCAAAGAAAATTTCATGACTTTGAAAAAACAAATCTTTTCGAAAATGAGGTCCACGTAAGTCGAAAAATTTCAACTGTAATAGTGAGTAATCTGTTTTTGTTTTGTTTTTGTATTTGCTTGATCTATATGGGAGACAAATACAAATAAAATTGAGAGGATATAAACACTCTGAATCAATTGAAAGCTATGTCTGTCAGGCATATAATTCTGAACGCGGTTTTACTGTCACATGAGCTGCAATTTTTGCGACCATCTTGTTAAGCTGTCTATTTCAAAAAGAAACACATATCATTCTAATGACTAAAACATGTTCTAATTAACTGACTTTTGTATTAAGAAATTTATATAGGAACGATTTAATGTGTGCAACTTTCACAAAACATGGAAAATACTGTCAAATATGCTCACTGAAAATACTTAATTTCTATTAATTTAGAATTTATATAATATTGAAAGCGAAATTAGAATGCACACAGAAGTCAATCATAAGTTTTATTTTTACAAGAAACGAGAGGAAAAAAAGAATTGAAAATATTTATGATCTAAAACAAAAGCGATACATAATTCATTTTTTCGATTTTACGCAACTGCTAATTTTCTAGATCCTATAATAGCATTTCATAGTGGGTCACTGATATATCATATGTCTGCATTAATTTTATTTCTATCTTTAACGAACTCATTTTATTTTAAAGATTTGTCTATACATGAACTTTAGGTCGTTTTGATTTTATTAGCTCTTCAACAATTTATTAGGAATTTGATATTCAAATATTTAGGTATAGATCATCACCGAAGACACATTAATTGTCGAATTGCGCATCTGGTGCAGTAAAACTGGTACCGTTAATGCAAGTGATTACATGTTTATCAATATTTAAAAAAAAAAGATATACAGGCAATTTATGTATTAAGAGTAAGGTACAATTTCCAATGAATTCATTTCACATTAGGACAAATTCAAAACCAATATTCGCTCAAATTAACAGTATTACAACTTGATATATATGTACTTTCACACTGTAATAACATTATGTTAGGTTTCTTAAAATGACACCACACTATACATGATTATGTCTGAAAGCTGCAAATTTGAAGAACTTGGCAAATTTGTATCGTCTATTAATCTAATGCTCCGCTGGGCGCAGCTTGATACGACCGCAGACGTCGAACCCTGACCAGTATGGGCTAGTATAGGCACTTCATTCAAGCTTAATACAGCTCTGAACTTGGATTGTGATTAAATATTTGACATAGCATAGGTTTCTGACACAGAATGAATGTGGTTAAAGAACTAAAGAAAATGAAATTGAACTTTTACCTATTATGGTCCAATATCCAAAATCTAAATACACTGTTAGAGTCAGCAGTCCAAGTACATCAAGAATTTAATTAATTTATTCATTCATGGACAAAATTAGCTTAGTTTTTAAAGGGGTTCGCTTCATATTTTTTTTTATATAAATATATAGCATTCTGCAAATTAATTTATAAAGAATAACAAACAGACCTACCACGAAGTTCTTCAATAAAGGAGTAGGTCCGGTAAGGGCCGATTTTGGCCTCAAACTTCAAGTTTTATCCAAAAAAAAATCTAAGGTTTTAAGTTTTCTTAAAAAAAAAGTTGTTTGTGAAGCATGGAACGAATAATCATTTGTGACGAGGGGACAGTGACGATTGCTTTATAAATAATGTCCAAAATCGATTCAAAAATCTTAATATTATAGCAGATTTTAATCAAATAAGTTATATTCCAAATTTTAGTTCCAGACACTTGAAACAGTGCCCACCAAAATAATATTGTTTTAATATAATACTAAACGTTAGCAAATGCATCTGAGATGTAAAACGAACTCAATACATCATGGCGCATGACAAAGATAATGTATTTTCTCTATAATGTTTTGGATTATATTTTCAACATAAAGCTTGTTTCCAAAATTAAGTGTTCATGCAGTTATTATATGAAAGTTTAATAATAAATCATTACATTAGGATTTAAGTGTTTGGAAGTTAATCAAAAGGAACAAAAAGCACTAAACTGGTGGGGTTAAACCTGTTTAACGTGCACACAAACGTCCACCTTTGTGTATCTGGACGATATGCACCTAAAACATAATACACAGTAAAAACCTTCACAGTGTAGCTCAGTCTAGCTGTCGTTCTAGTACAAGGTAGGCTCCATTTTCATATCATATTTACATGTTCTCGTTCTCATCTGTATGTTATAAATAAAAAGAAGAAGATGTGGTATGATTACCAATGAGACGACTCTCCACGAGAGACCAAATGACACAGAATTTAACAACTATAGGTCACCGTACGGCCTTCAACAATGAGCAAAGCCCATACCGTATAGTCAGCTATAAAAGGCTCCTAAATGACAAATGTAAAACAATTCAAACGAGAAAACTAACGGCCTAATTTATGCACAAAATAATGAACGAAAATCAAATATGTTACACAGCAACAAACGACAACCACTGAATTACAGGCTCCTGACTTGGGACAGGCACATAAAGAATGTGGCGGGGTTGAACTAGTTAGATGGCGCCAACCCCCCCCCCCCCCCCCCCCCTAACCTGGGAAGTTCGCATCTGGACGTTAAACACTAACCCATTGTCATAATCATCATCAAAATATTTTCTTATTGTTGAAGGTCGTACGGTGACATATAATTGCTTACTTCCACATCATTTTGCGTTAGTGTAATGAAATTAAGTTGTCCGCGTCGTCGTCGTCCGAAGACATTTGGTTAAACGAAAATACCTTGAGTATAAGTGTATGGATCTCTATGAAATTGTAGCACAAGGTTCCATACCACAAAAAAGAAGGTTGGGAATGATTTTTTGGGTTATTGTGTTAGCTGTTTAGGAATTAGGGGCCAAAATGGGGACAAAAACAGCCATTTTCTTATTTCAGGACAATAACTAGTGTATAAGTGTATGGATTTCTTTGTAATTTATTGCTTTTGGGAGTCATGGTCCAAATCGTTTAGGAATTAGGGGCCATAAAGGGAAAAAATAGGATTTTCTGGTTTCTGGACAATAAATTTAGTATAAGTCTATGGATCTCTATGAAATTGTACCACAAGGTTCCATACAAAAAAGCAAGGTTGGGATTGATTTTGGGGGTTATGGCCCTTAATGACAAGGAAAAAGGGGCCAAAAACATTACTTTTCTAATACTTTGTATAAATTGCTTATTTCGTTATCAATTTCAATTGGGCTTTAGTTAACTCAAAGTCTGGAATTCTTGAGGTTCTGTAATATTCTGAATCTAACCGTGTATTTTGATATTTGATTTTGGGTCCATTATTAAATTGGTCCACATTCAGGTCCAAAGGGTCCAAAATTAATCTTTGTTTGATTTCATCAAAAATTGAATTCTTGGGGTTGTTTGATATGCTGAATCTAATCATGTATTTAGATTATGGATATAGGACCATAAAAGGTACATGACCAATTTCATTTTTTTTATGTTCATTCAGTGCAAGAAACCTATGCTATGTCAAATATTTAATCACAATCCAAATTCAGAGATGTATTGCACAATAAATAGAAATTGAAAGTAGATTCGTAGTTGAAAATAGATACAGCATCATATTTTAATTTTAGAAATTATGTATAAATATAGTTTGAAATTTACTGTTCATTATTAAGATATTTTGAAAAGTAAAGGTAAGTTTTATAGAATTTTTAAAGACATTGTAATAATGATAAATGATATTTTGGAAATTATTTTTTTTTTCATTTTTTTTGGTAAAGGAGTAGGTCCACTAAGACCCCTTTTTGGCCCCAAAATATAGCAGTTTTATAAAATTGTTAAAATGTTAACTTCTAGCTATTTATTGGAAAGAATAATACTTCTGTTACATAAATATGGGCTGTTTTTGACAATACAATGCACATGTATCGGGTACTAGCATCGTTAAGTCATTGTAAATTACTGAAATCTTCACAATTTGAGCATTTGAGTGAATTTTTAGACGGTTTTCGTCTTAAGGTAGATAGGGTGTCTTCCTCCATCTTGGATTTTGAAATACCAGAAAACAATCGGTCTAGATCTATAATAAAAGGTGCAAATTTTGAGAGTAGTAGGCAATTCATGTGTAAGAATTTTCATTTCAATATAGAAAATGACATATTTTATCATATTTATGGTTGTATTTTACAAAAAAACTGAATACTTTTGTTTGATTCTATATTTCCCAACGTTGCCGCATAAGGGGAGGCAACTCGATTGTAAGGGCAGATAATTCACATAAAGTTACTTTTACAATAGAATGTGTTAGGAATTTACCTATTTTATTATGTAGCAAGAAAACGGGTCCGGTGACCCCATTTTTTCTTTTTCTTATCTGAAAGCATACTATTAGAGCTATCTTTTCATATTTTATCTCAAAATTCTATGGTGTAGTTTTCATTTTATGGCAGAAAATTGGGTTTTCCATGCATAATCTATACAAAATCTGTCAATTTTGCACAACCTGTAGCGTGAAAATAAGGCCCGTCACCCATTCTTTTTGTTATATTTTTTAAAAAAGCATGATATAAACTACATTTTGGCAATTTTTTTAAAAATTCTATGGATTATAATTTAGACACCCCATCTACCTTAAATGGTAGTGGCCGCATTTGTGTTTATTCTTAATATTTAAATGTAAGTTGTATTTGATGATAATACATAACATATATAAAGATTGAGGATGAACACGGATGCGGCCACTTTCATTTTTGACAAAAACCATCTTAAAAGGGACATATTATTGCATATTTGATAGATTTTTAATATTTAAGCTTAAATTTGAGCGTCTTTAATGACTAAATCAG